TTTATTCAACAGGAATGATATAAAAGCTGGTATTGAAGTCGCAGGCCTTCCTAAAAGGACAGTGGCGATTCCTTGGCAAGAAGCTCGGTTGTTGAGGGAACTGGGATGCTTCATTGCCTGTCTTGGGATGCTGTGGGATGTGCCTGTTATCCTCTCTTCAGCTTGCTGCTGCAGAGAGCCAGTATTCACTTGTTTTCCTTCAGCGTAATGCTGTTCTTTTGCATGAGTATGGACCATCTGTTGCTTGTAACTTCATAAAGAGTATTAAGATGAGATTTGCTTTTTTAAAAAATTTTTTTAACAATTATTTTTAGCAGCTGATTTCAGCAATTGGAATGCTGCTACTGAAATGGAAGCTTTTGATTTTAAGTTCATAACACTAAGAAAAGCTGCAAATGGAGGCATGCCACTAAAGCAATTTATTTGTAAAGGAGGGAAAATCACGTGTGGTAGGTCAAGTTTTGCAGGCTAGTATTGCAGTTATGTTCTAGAAGTTTTTGTCTTGGATTTAAGTGCTATAAAAGGAAAAAGGTAATTGCCAGTTTCAAGGAAACTATGTTTTCTTTTAATTGCGGGCATGCTCGATGCAGTGTGTTCTCATTGTATGAAAATAAACCAAAAGCATTTTTAGGTGGTGGATAGGGAAGAGTTCTGTAGTCCTTGCTTCTCCCAGCACTGCAGTCTTACCCTGTTGGAGTGCACTGACCCTCCACCCTTTTTTTTTTTTTTTTAATTTTCCTTTAATTTTGAACACTTAAACAAATACTGCCATCTGAAAAAAGCCATTTGTATAAGGTAACATTAAAATTTAAGGTGTCCTCTGGGAAGCTGATACGCATTTTGGTAATTAAAAGTACCTTGTGAAGTATAGTACGTTTGCTTTTCATTGCAGTGCGTTCAAGTGCTCAGAGGCCTGATAGTGTATCTGTGGCCTTTGTTGAAAATGTTGACTGTTCGTTCATGAATGATTAACAGGTTGTTTTATTTAAAGGCACATATCTGCTTCCTACTGTGTCAGTATAAAAACTATGTTCTGAAAAAGCTGTGTGTACAGTCTCTGTTTGAAGAATGTTGTGTGTTGATCCTAGAAACCTTGTCCTGCCTGCATGAAACTCTCTTCCTTATCAATTTGCAAAGATTCAGTGCCAGCAGACTTTTCTGTGAAACTGAACTTATATATGGCAGATTTCTAAAGTATTAAAACACAGAGCATTACTGAGCTCAGGGAGAGGTCCTTATATTCATAAAGTTGTCATAGTGCTTAATAGGCTGTACCATTTTCATTCAAGTTGTAGCATCATAGAAGTATTTCTGCTTTCTAATTTTTCTTTATCACATTTCTAGCAAGAGTCCTTCACTGTTCTTAGCAGGAGAAAGCAACATGAAAAACTGTGAAATCCATATCAAATAGCAAATGAATGTTGAAATGTTTTGAGTATAAGGCGTTTTGTGTGTGCGTGTATGGGCCTGTTGAAGGACGTGTTCTTGTGATTCTGATAGTGAGAAAACAAAGAGTCTCTTTTGATAGATTTAATTCCATGTTTATGAGCATTTGGAGCTTGTTAGTGCAAAAGTGAAGCTCGGGAGTGAAGTTCTATCTGGAAGTCCTCAGGTACATACAGAGCTGTTTAGTGTTTAGCATATATATTTAAGTTTCCCTTAACGGTGTATGTCTGGTTTTGGGAAAACGCTCATGGAAGTGGTCAGAAACTATTTTGATCTAGATAATGCTTTCTCTGTTCGGATTTATACATTGGTAATGAGTAATGGGTTTGGTAAATGAAAGGAATACAGTTAAATTAATATGCTTTTTTGGCTTGAAACTATTAAAGGTTTTTGCAGAACACAGTCTTGGAACTTAAAACAGGCATCTGAGAGGAAAGGAGATGGTGGAGGGCCGGGTTGCTCTGCGGGGACATCTAGTGGGACCTGCCTCTCTGCAGGACTCTCCTTCCCAAGCTGCTGGGGGGAGAGGATTGACCTTCCTGTCGACACTGACGTAGAAAGTACACTAAAGTTAATTACAGGAAACTTCTGAGCTTCCTAAAAGCTGTTTTTCTCATCAATAAATGAGAAATTCTTCACAAAATTACCCTTGATAAGGTTGGGTGCTGTTGAACTGAGCATTATTGTAGATGTAAAACGTACCTCCTTGTGTGGCTCAAGGTATGAGGAAGTATTATTGTATGTTACGTGGTTATTTAAAATAGTTCCTGGTAAGAAAGTTGTATCCCTCAAAGACGTACTTATAAGCTAAGCTGCGTGTTGTAGTTAGATTGATGGCTTTGCATTTTCTTATGCTTCGCTGAAAGCAGTAACTTACAGGTGCCTTTCAAAAATCCGGCAATTCTCCCCAAAGAATCTGTCAGAAGAGAGTGCAACAGGGAATGGAAGTAGCTGGAGGCTTGGTTGGCAGGTCAGTTAGCTGTCTTGTTTGTTGTTCAGGACAAAAGTTCTGGCTTCCCTTGAAAACCAGAAATTGGTATATTGAGTTTGGAAGTACTGAGCATTCAGAAGAAAACCCCTCATTATGCTTTCATATCATGTTGCTGTTTTAAACTTAACTACTATACTGCTTGAATTATGTGGCAGTACGCTGGCTGTGAGCTTCCAGTATTGGCTTAGCATATACACGTCCTGCAGTTTCATCTGGAGTTGTTCTGGGTTTAATGCTAAAACCGTTGAAAACCTCAGTGTGAAACCTTTGAGCCATATTCCTATGTGTTGCTTGAGGAACTGTTCTAAAAACTATATTGAGCATTCTGTGTCATAGGCTTTCTATTTGGAAAACACTTTTATTAATACACAGAACTGTTCTTTTAATAATGGCACTTCATGTCTTAATTAAAACAAAAAAGCAACTGGCAAATGCAGGCCAGACAGCAAATCCTTCTTATTGCCTTGTGTGGAAGAGCAATTGTAGGAGGACGGGAGTGTTGTGCGAGCCACCAGCCTCCCGCTGCAGCAGCCAGGGTGTTTGATGGTGCTGCTTTTGCCAATTACTTGAAATAGAGGAAGAACCTGAAGGTTTGTGCATTTGCCGGTGCAGGTGTATGTTGTGGCTTCAAATGACAAGCTTAGGGGTTTAATGGCAGGATGATTTATGTGGGAAATGCAGCTCTGCAGGCCGGTTGGGAAATGAATGCAGAAACTGCCTCTTGAAAGAGGAGACCTCTAGGCTGCTCTCGCAGCATCCCAGGGAATCGAGGTTCATCCCTGAAGGCAGCAGAGTGATGTTTCATTCATAGTAGCATTTTGTATGGTGTTACTGCTTTCAGGAGCAACTCCACCAAAGGTGGCCATTCTATCCTCCTCCTCCTTCTCCTCCTCCTCCTCAAAAAAAAAAAAAAAAAAAAAAAAGGCGCTGGGGGTTGGAGACTTGGATAGTAGAAAAATAGCCTCTTACTGCTCATCAAGTTTTATAACAGCTGGTTTTTTTTTCCTTTGAATTAGGTAGAGGAGGATACTAATTGGTTTTGGCGCTCTTATTTTGCCAGTGCTGCAATTTTTTTTTTCCCTTTTGTGGTTTGCCTTAAACATACTGTACTTGCTATATCTAGTAAGCTGTGTTTTCTCTTTTAAAGGCACACAAAACAAGTCCATGCCTGTTTTAATCTCATTAAGTTCCTCTCTAGCTGTTTCCCTTTTGGTTGTGCATATTGCCCATATTTGGTTCTAGCTATGGTGCAATCAGTTTATATCTGATTGTGTGGTATGCTAAGCTGTCTTGCCTGAGCAAACCCTGATAATTTATGATTAGATGTGGCCTAGATTAGCAGCTTATGATTTTAATGTTTAAAAGTACATTATAAAAGATCTTTTATGTAATGCAATATGTTATTTTTTCCTGTGAAAGATGCAACAAGAGGCACAAGGACTTGCCTGCAGCAAAGCTTCTGAATTAAAACAAAGCAGGGGGAAGGGATGGTATAAATTATGTAGTTCCTTCCTTTAGAGTGCCTAAATAATGTGTCCTAAAATACAGAGATGGCAGTGCATTACCAGGAAACTATTCGATTTGGTTTAATAACAAGCTGCTTTCCCAATCTCATAATCACAGCTCTTATATTCTGCCTGGTGTGTTTTATATACTTGTATTATACCTTAAAAGTGGAACATCTGAAAGTCTATTTCTCTCCTAAACACTTTAGTGGCTTATTTGAAAGTACTTGTGGTTTCAGTGAGTGCCATGGACTTTTAACCATGCTTTCTACTGGCCTTCATGTTAGCAAACTATTTATTAATGAGAAATCAGGGTTTTGTTTTCTTGTTGGTATTTGTTGTTCTACTTGTGTACATGTATATGAATAAAATTAGGTGGATAAGAATATCCACTTAGAAGAGAGTGGTAATTAGAACACTCGGTGATATTGCCTAAAATATTTAAATAAGCATCTGTTTGGAAAGGCCTACAGGTAAACTGTCCAGGTGTTTTCCAGAGTCTCTTAGTCACAACATTGTGCTCATCTTTCTAACTGAACTGTCTGTTTAGATCTGCCTGAGAAGATAGAAGTGCTGCTTTACATTCACCATCATCTGTACTAGCAGTGAGGGAGAAAGGTTGGGGAACCATCTTTGCTTAAGAAGTGGCATCTCAGAAATGCTACGTTTTGTCTTGAACAAGATCACATTACTCACAGTTCCTGAGCAATACCTGAACTGTAAAGCTGAAGTTTTTCAATAAGGCAAGGACATAATTATTTTCATGATGATGCCAGTGTATTTCAAATCCACTGTAAGACATAATTATCAGCTGTCATCTGGAGATATGCTGAAAAATTGTTTCAGTGTTAAATAAATATAGCTTGTGCTATCTACCTTATAGTTAATAATCTCATGTTTTCACATCCCAGCATCTTGTGGCTGTCCTTTGTGCTTTTGTACTTAACAACAAAAAAGGGAGTTTGTTGGTTTGTTTAACTACTGTAATATATTCTGATTTGCAAGGGAGCATTCTAAAACTCATTTGCTCTTTAACAATACATTTCTTCTCTCAATAGCCAACTACTCCACCAAGCCAAGGGAGGCCTGATTCACCAGTTTATGCTAATTTACAAGAACTGAAAATATCTCAGTCTGCACTTCCACCACTACCTACAAGTGCTCCGGTCCAAATAAATGGGGAATGGGAAACTCATAAAGATACGACAGGACGCTGTTATTACTACAACAGAGGATCACAGGAACGAACCTGGAAACCTCCACGGTGGGCCCGAGATGCAAGCATTAATAAAGGGGATTCCCAGAGCCATGCAGATCATGAGGTAGTTCCTTCTGAGATCACAAGCAATGAGATTGTAATGCATATGAATGCTGTTTTGCTATGGAATTTGGTATCGCTGAGTTTCAAGGTGTCAAGGAGTGTCTTCATTTGTCTTTCTGGTCATGTGTCTTGGTATGAAGTAGTACACAATTTAGCTTTTCAGTTGTTTTTGTATACAAGAATGCATAGATGAACTGTGTACAAGAGTAGTAAGTTGTAAAAATGCCTTACAGTCCCTCAGCAGGTATTGCAGCTTTTCCTTTAAAGGTAAAGGAAAACTAAGATATTTTGAAACTAATAGGACTATAAATGATGATAGAGTAAGACAACCATTCTAAGTTCTCTGACATGGAGTGCGTTCTCTTTCCCAGTGTATTTGCCACATTTCTGGGGGGAGAAGGAGGGGGAATGTGACAGTGCTTCTAGCAGCAGTATTTATGGGGATGCATTGAAAAAGGCAAGGGGAATTTTTTATTGTTATCAATATCAGTTAAATACACAGTAAAACAAAGGCAGGGGATATAGAGGTGTTTGCTACTGCTTGGTTAATGCTGTGGTAGAAAATTTGAGTATGAGATGCTTTTCTTATAGAGGAAAATATTTTTGAGGGAGGAATTAAGGTGGATTTAGAAGTTAAGATGGATGTAGAGAACTCCAGAGTTCTGGACTCAAAACCAGACTTAATGGAGTTCCACAGCAGTTTCCATCTGCATCAAAAATACTGGCGTAATTGAAGCTTCTATCAAATTAAAATATATTGATTTTTATTTTCATACTTAGATTTATACTATTAAAAATTTATATATTCTATGATTCTTTTAAAATTTTTATTTTTTTTTAAAGTGGCATATGTGACTGTTCAAACTTGAGTTTTATTTAATGAATTCTTGAAGAGGTGGAATAATTATAGTGAATATAAAAAGCAAGTTTAGTGGGATAACTTGTTGCAGCAATTTATTTAACCATTTGCTGAAGAGATTTGAATTTACACACTTGTGAATGATTTCTGCCTTGGGTAGCTGTAGAACAATCTAGGAGAAAGGGCAGTTAAAGGAGAAATATTTTGTTATCAACTTGTGTTAACTTTGAGAAAATCCTTTTCTTTGTTCTGTGAATGATATTCTAGAGAAGAAGAGAACATTAAAATTACTGTGTTAGAAGCTCTGCCTAGCCAAGTGTCTAGGTGCAAGGGTAGCAAATACTGATGGGGGGAGGAAATCCACCTTAGCTTTTGGCAATTAGCCGTAGGAGCTTTTGACTAAATTACATTCAGGCCATAAACATATTCTTTAGATATCACAATGGATTTTTTTTTTGTTGCTTTTGCAAAACTTTTTGGCAAAGCTTTGCTGCAGACCTTGCTTAAGAGAGTTGAAGATTATCATGGAGTTATTTATGTTAAAAGATGATTTGGGCTAATATTTGAGGTGCAGATATATTCTGTGCAGCCAGTTGCTAGGGAGAGCCAGACAGTGGTGTGTGTTTATCTGAACTGCAGTGATTCAGATAAAGCAAAGGAATAGTTGGGAGATGGATATTACTATTTAAATACACTTAAAATAGTGCTCTTGTGTTCAAACAGTACTTGGGTTAATCAGTTTCCTGATTGAAAGAAAAAGCAAACATTTATCAAGAAATCTTCTACATATTTCATTTTTATATACCCTCTTCAAATATGTATAGTTTAGGTGGATTTCCTCCTGAGCCTATGAGAATGTTTAGTTTTAAAATTTAGTTGTGGACTGCTCAGAAATTTTAGATTGCTGGAATCCCTGTCGTAGAAGTCTACCTCTGCGATGGTAGTGCCAGAAACAGGAGAGAAAGGAAAAAGGGACCCTTTCATTGCCTTTGGCAATGGCCTTCATAGCAGCTGTGACATCCGCAAGCATTTAAACAGCCAAATTTTCTTGCCACAGGCTAGTGGCAGCAACAGGTAAACTGGTGAAATGTTTGTGGTTGTCACTTTGGTATCTCTGCCAATGGTCTTATTAATTTCTCACTGGCTATTCTTCTGCTGGATAAGGCTCTGTTTTTAGTCTGGATAAAGTGATTGATTTTTTTCAGTAGTAACTTTCCCTGTAGCAAGTGTAACTGATTTTCTGTTGTCATTCTTCCTTCTCTTCGTGGAAGGACTTCCAATAGTTCTTTCTCCTTCCCCATCTGCAAATGATAGCTCTGACTCTCTCATAGCTGTACCACAACTTCACCACATGGTTGCGTGTTTGGAAAGTTTGGGGTTTTTTTAATTTATTTTATTGCCCATAACTTATTTCAGCTCAGTTCTTCTGTTTATTTGTGATGCTTGAGGTATCACAGATTGGCCTTCAGACAGTTAGATCTATCAAGATTTCAGTCTTAGTAAGACCAATGGATGATGCATGTTTTGGTTAATTTTTAACTTCACATAAGTTTGCATTTCCAGTAGCACAAGTTCCTTAAGTAATTTGTGTCCTCTCTGACTGGGTTATCAAAGTTTGGGTCTAGGGAGATATATGTTGCACGGTCATGTCAATCCACTTTCCAGCAGTCATGTTTTGTTTTTGAAGCTGCCTTTTTTTTTCCCTTCCTTTCTCTTCTGTTCCGCATTTGGGAGTGTACTTCATACTCCACTGTTTGTGTTCACCTTTTTGTTTGACCTCTGAGTACTTAAACCAAAGTATTTAGAGTAAAGGTTGAGATCCTAGCCTAAGCTGTAGTAAAATAGAGGACATCCCAAATTTTGTTTTGTGAAGACTTAGAGCAAATATGCCTTAATAATTAGTAAAAACAGATTAATTTATTAGAATGAAGTTAAGTTGGCTTTTATACGCTAGTCTGAGTTATGCTCCTTCCCTTCAGATTTAGTAATAAAAGAGCATATGCAGGAAAGTTAAATGCTAGTTGTATCTCTACTGATTTGTCCTCAGAGTAGTTTGTATTGTATTAGGTGGCAAAATGGCAAGATGATGTAAAAATGAGAACTGTGAATGATCATATATTCTAATATATGTGTAATATATTAGAACATGAAATAGCTTATAGTTGGTCTTAGAACTATGTGATTAAGAAATTGAATTTTATTGGATAATTAGGAAGGGGCAAAATTGTACCTAATTTGTCAAAGAAGTTGGTAACAGTTACGGCACAAAGAAAACAGTTGCAGGTTATGGCAGTTATTTGGATGGGGTGGGGGGAAGCAGTAAATTCCTGTCAACAGGGCCTCTAGGAAAGTGTATAAGATTTTGGAATTACAGGTAAAATTTATCAGAGGTAGTGACTTGTTAATGTATTTGAGGAAGGAGTGCTTAACTGTAACTGGGAGAAATTTGTCAGTAAAGTGATTTAATTAAGGTGTACTGTAAAAGGAATGAGATGTTATCATATCAGGGAAGGGCAAAATTCTAATACCGAGCTAGGAGACCATAATGTGAAGTAGAGACCAACAAATTAACCAGCAAGCTGTAGAAAAGCAACAGGATTTCATTTAAATTGAAAACTACATTTAAAACATGTGGCTAAGATGCAATTTTGTTCCCCATTTTCTTGTTTCAAAGTAAACAAAGGGTGATAAAGGGATGCTAGCTCCTTTAATTAGTAAGTATTCTTTCTTATTATTTTGATTTTTAGAAGTAGTAGTAACTTTCACAACTAGACTGGTTAAGTGATAGAAGAGAGACTGTAACTGTTCCTTTTTTTATTAAATGCATGGTGATGAACTGGTCGCTGCCCTCAAGAATTTTCCATGTAAATGGAAAAAAGCCAAGACAGACAGTAGAAGTGATGATGTGGGGGACCTTTTCTGTAATTGTCTTTAGTGTCACAGCAAAGTTCTTAGAAGGTGTGAGGTTGGGCAGCTGCCTGCTTAAGATGGCTTTATTGAAATGTGATATAGTATAATTGGGGATGGGACACGGGAAACCATGGATGCTACATAAAAAGCATGTAGGCACTTAATACTGAAAAAGTGTTGAAAGTTAAATTGAAAGTTGTTGAACGTGGTTTGGACAGTGTTCTCTAACCCCTGTTGATGCAGCTTGAGCAGTTGTTCCTACTAGCTGAAGGACAAGGAATGCCTTGGCTTGGCAAACTTTGTAACAACTCAGGAATTTTGTTTAAGTTTAGGTCTGCAAAGGTAGGTGATAGTAGTTAAGTCTGGAAGCATCAAGACTCTTGTTATATGGTTGCCTTATAGATAGACGCATTAACAGTCATTCTTACTGAACAACAGTGTTTTTCCTAGGAGAATTTTCATTTTGAAGTCTTCTGTTTAGTTTTACATGTCTACAGTGTTTCCTCAGTATCAGGAGTTGCTTGGAAGAGGCAAATACAAATGCATTATGTTATTTGGCCGTAATTCCTGTTAATAATGTGCAAAGTCTACTACTTTGTTTGAACATATGTCAATGCACTTAATATTTAACCATTAAAACATGATGTAAACTTAAATATGTGTATACAATATAGCTATCTTATAAAACAGTAGTTCAAATGGGGCCAATAGCACTCTTATTGACGACTCAGTCTTAATTCTTCAAGCATAAAAAATGGGACTGAAAACTTTTTTTTTTTGCCCCAGTGGTTAGAAATTGGCACTTCAGAATTTCATGTTACCCCATGTGCTAGAGAGGTAGCAAGAGAGGCAGCATTGTTTAATCTGTAGTTTACATTCTTGCCTTCTGTAGGCTGCAGAGGATGCTTACATTTTTTTTTTTCATGTTACTTTATTAATGATCTGAAAATTTCCCATGGATTTTGCTGTGTTTGGTAGGCTGGCTCATGTCAGCATAGGCAGTTTGTGTCACACAAAAGTGGTAAGGTACTCAGAAAGGTAACACCCAAAACCTATGTAATAATCATTTGTAAACATCACTAAACACATTGTCTCTAAACCCACTGATTCTTTAAAACTAGTGAGTTTCTGATACCTGGATATTTTTTGGTAAGATTTAAGTTGTTCCAGGGAGGTTTTTTCTAGTTTAAAATTGAAATTCTGCCTTTCTTCTGCTTTATAGTTTTCCTTAAAACCCTTATACTTGTGTTATTGAACCTTAGTCAATAGTTAACTATTGTAATTTCTGAATAGCAGGATGTGTTCCCTCAAGTGTTATGCTTCCTACTAGCCAAGGATCCAAGATAGTGTGAAAGGAAATCTGCACTGAACTCCTCAGGAGACTGTGGCATAGAGATATTGTTGTGGGAGATAAATGCAGGGAGATTTTTTTTTTTATGCATGTAATGGATGCTTTGAATAATACTACAATAAATTAGCAAGGAGATGAACAAGGTGTATGAGGGAACAGAAATTGTTTGACGTGTGTGTGCAAAATCTTTTTTCTGCTTTACACGTCAGACTTGTTCCTTACATTATAATTCACTTCTACCTTCAGAAAATGATCTTACACCTCAGCTAGTTGTGCCTGGTAGGTGTTGCTTTTGCATTGCTTGTTGTCACACGCTTCAGAGTTGGGAAGAGGAGAGTGGAAATTCATAATATTTTAGGATGCATTGCATAAATACTTTAAAGTGCTGGGACCTACAAAGGTGCAACTGGAGTTTCAAGTTGTCTTTAATGATTATTGTGTTTCCAGATACTATTTGGGAAGGGGAGAAAAGGATTTAGGTATGAAAGTTGGGATGTTGCCAGAAAAACAAGGTAGCAGGTCTCCCAAGTTTTTTGAGGCAATGTGGATTACTAAAGCTAACTCTCTTCATCATTCAGTACTGTAAATTTGTGGGAAATAAAATTTAGATTGGAAAAAAAAGGCATTTAAATTTGAGTAGCTGAAATCTGGTATAGTAGAATTAAAAAAAAATTATCAGTATAAACCAGTTGTTCTGAAAATACTTTGAATTGCCTAGCAATTGTCAAATATTTCTGTACTGTAAAAATGCATCTCTCATTCTCTGATGTAAGATATAAAAATATGAACTTCCTGAATTTACTACTATTCTCTTTCTAGTCAAATTATCTTTGATCTTTCAGATTTTAAAGCGCTTTCATTCTTAAAACTGCCTTGTATGTTTCTGACTACTTGTAGCATCTTTCATCAGAAGAAAACGACCACAGTTCTTGTTACAGCCAGTCAGATAGTCAGTATGGTTCTCCTCCAAAGGGTTGGTCAGAAGAGTTGGATGAACATGGTCAAACCTTATATACCAATGACTATACTAATGAAAAGGTACTTTTTCCTTCTTCTCATCACATGTTCAAAATCTTTTCCACTAATTCACTGTTAGAAATGTAGGTTTTGTTTCTAGAAGTGGAAAGCATACCGCAGCAGTACCTTCTTTTGTTTTTTAAATATGCACGAAAATTTAGCAAGTGACCTGACTTTTTTTTTCCTTATGTGTGTTCTTCATTATTTAGAAGAAGTTTTCTTATTTCCAGTTGGGTGTCAGGTTATGTTAAATGAACATATGATGTATAATTTTTTTTAAATCCTGCCCTCCCCCATCCTCTTAGTTACACTTCAGGAATGAACTTCATACCAATATAATGTTTTTCTTACTGTCTTTTAAGAGCTGTTCTTGTCTACGTAGGCATTCCAGTTAGGATGGTTTCGAAATGAAAATAATGCTGCTTTATCAGTTTCATCGTTTACTAGAGATTTTAGTACTGCTTTCAGATGTAGACAAACTTCTTAATTTAACTACAGCTGTATCAGCAGATTTATGTTCTATTCTAATCATCTAATTGCTACGGACAACTTTCTGTGATTCTGAGCACATAATAAAAATTTCTCCCACATAGGATAAGTGACAATATTTGTTTATATTTGTAAAGCAGTCCCTTTTTCTAGGTGTTTACTAAAGTTGCATTTTTGTTTTTTTTAACTTAAGGTGTTCATTGAAACAGTAGTTTGTCTATCATATTATAGCACTACTTTTTTTCCAGTTGATGTATGCAAGTTTTTTTGAAAGAAGTCTTTAAATAACTGAGTTTTATGTCAGTTTTGGAACTTTATCCTGCTTTCTATTTCTGCTAAACATCTGTAGAGCACATACTTATGTTTTGGCAAATATGCAAACTTTTTTTTGATTGCACTGGGATTGATAGGAAACAGTGTTTCCTATCACAAACAGTTCATTGGAAGGCAATCTCGTGAAACCTGCTTGACCCAAGAGCCTTACTGTGAGTGTTTCTGTGCATATTTTTGTGCGATCTTGTAGACTTTTGCTCATTATGATTCTTCCCCTTCTGCATAACGAGTCACAGTTGTCATAGTTTTACCTCTTTGATTGCGGGACTTGCTTATAGAGGTTACAGAAATTATATTATTTTCATAATTTATTTAGGAACTGCATCTCATATTCCTGTTGATGTTTTAAAAACGGAGTTGTTCAGTAAGTGCAATTATCTCTCAAATTATCAGCAGTTGCTGGTTGAGCTTCTTGTAATTCTGTAATCTTATGTATGAAATCCTTACACAGATATGATGCAAAGATTGTGCTTCCTTAAACTGACACTGTAATGTCAATAAGTGAGATATGCCATCTTCAAAAATATCTGTTTATGACAATCTCTTGTGTGATTTTACAGCACTATGTTCTGAGGTGTTACAGAAGGAAAAAAATATTAGTTAACCCAATTCAGGAAGCTGAAAACTGTGTTGCTCTTGTTGCTAACTAACCTTGGTTAGTTAATGGAGGCTGTGCACTAGATGCTGCTGAAGTGGATGGCACTTTATTAAAAATTTAACTTCAAATTGCAAGTATGAGAGGGTTACTGTTACGACTGTCACTCTGATTACATTTCCTATCATCGCATTTTCCCTACAGTGGATAAAACACGCAGATGAACAAGGTAGACCATACTACTACAGTGCTGATGGTTCCCGATCAGAATGGGAGTTACCTAAGGTGAGTGACCTAAAAAAGAAACTTTGACAACTTGAGGCTTTCCCCTCCTCCTCAATAAAAGTTCTATGGGGTCTTTAATGGGAGTTATTCACAACAAGAGGACTTATGTATTGCACTTGGTTATTTCTTGCATTTTTGTGGAATTTCTGATTGTGAAGAGAAAAAAATATGCTCAAGGACATGAAAAATAGATGTAACTATTCAGATGTCAGAGAAGATCTTGTATCTTTGCTGAACTGAGCTTTTCATGCAGGCAGAAGAATAGTATCTGTGATTTTGCTGTGATAAAGAAAACCTCTATAGGAAAAAAGAAATTTTTTTTAACTACAAAATGTTCCTGAGAAACTGTAGTCTATTTTTAGTACCCTCCAAAATGCTTATACAGACAAGTGTTGAAAAACAAAAGTTTCAGCAGAGTTTTGTGGTATCTTTGAGGATGACACAGTTTCACCAAAAGTGTGTTCTGGTATTTATTAATTTCATAATGAAAATGGGAATTTGTAGGAAAGTGCCAGAGCTAGGGACAGTTGGTAGTCTGAGGATGTACCTAATACTATGTAATTCTCATTTTCACTTCAAAAAAACTATAGAACATTTGTCATAATGATGTAGTTGTATATGTCTTCCCTGCCGTTAGGATGTTTGTTCAATCCTACATAGTAAGTTCAGCATTAAAAAAAGTTTCACACAGAATTGTGTACATAAGTGTATGAAAGAGCATGTTTCTCTATTGTTTCATCAGTCCGAAAACCTGGTGTCTGAAGTCACTTCCACTTATAAAGGAGCAACCCTAATAGATAGTGCTTTCATAATACTTGTGAGAAAATATTTACACTGAAATTTATGAACGGATCTATATACTAGACTGTTTTCTTATGTTGGTAAAAGAATTGTATCTGAGTCACTGAAGAGTTGAGTTAGCTTTGTGAATTCTCATATGTTGGTCTGATGTGTTAGATAAATTTTGTAACATACATAAACCTAACAATATAATCTGTAACTATTGGTTTTAAAAAGCTACTTAGCTATTAGATTAATTGGAAGTCTGAAAATCTGCTAGACCAGGTTTTACCAGAAGCAATTGTTAGTTCAGTATGTATAATGGGAGTGAATTTTGGGAAATAAAGTCTTGCATATTTCATTCTGCGACTTCTGCAATGCAGAAAGTTTTGACTGTGAAGAAGTTGCTTTCCACTAAAACAGAATGGATTTGGATTTGAACTAAATAGCAAATTAAGTTGGCTTTCATCCAACTGCAATAAGTCACAAAGATAATCCAGAACTGCTACATGAGGCATATTAGCATACAGGGATTGGGTCTAGTATTTGTGTGTTAGTCCATGATATCCTAGTGGTTCTAAACATACAGGGATTGGGTCTAGTATTTGTGTGTTAGTCCATGATATTCTAGTGGTTCTAAACAGACATCTGAGCTCCGTTGTACTAACAGCCACCTACAGAATGAAATATAGCCTCTGTTTCAGAGTTTGTGATCTGATATGCTTTAGTTCTTGTTTATGTGAAAATCATCACCTATTGCTGTTACAAATGTTCCTTGAAAATTTTCTCATAAGCCATTTGGGCCGAATGTACTCTTTAATTCCTTCTTGAAACTAGTAAATCTTGGGTGGCAGCAAATGTAAGGTTAACAAGTAAATGAGCAATTGACTCTTGTATTCATGATCCAAGAGCCTATGTATTTCCAGAAATCCTTAGCTTTTCTCTTTAAATGCTGTGGAATAGATTAAATATTTCGGCAAAAGATTTACCTGGTTTATGTAACTGTATATCTGAAGAGCATACAGCAGAGATGTTACACTTGTGAATAATTGAAGCATGATTGAAGATTAGTCTCTTGAAAATCTTACTGAAGCTGGTTCCAAAAGTGCTTAGAAACAAATGAATTGGAAAGACAATGTAGAACTGCTTTGAAGAAAAATAATCTATATTGAAAACTCTCATGAATGGTGAGAGAAAACAGTAAAAAGACTTCAGCATTGTAACTCTTGCTTAAATAAAAATTAAGTTCCTAGGAAAAAAAATCCTACTCTGGGTCAGTTTTTTCCAAAATTTGTTGTGAAATAAAGTGATGGCATAGCATGGTCATGTAGTGCTGTTAAACCAGAAAAAGAGGAGAATGCTTTTGTTAGATGGTTCTTAATAATCTGGACTTTATTAGAACTAGATATCATCTGAAGGTTTCTGGGAATAGCACAATAGCTGAGCTAATGCTATAACATTAAAAATCTTCACTGTTACAGCATTAACTGTAAATGTGAACATGCTTGGGAATAACACTTCCAGTATTCTTGTCTGTGTATTAAAAATTGTGAGGGTGTATGTTGGGGAGGGAGGGCAGTTACAAAACAAATTACTTCAGACAGTCTCACAGAAAGCCCTCCAGTCATGTATATTTGAATAACATCTAGGAATAGCTGAATGCCTCTGCTTAAAAATGACATCTCGGGTGGAGTAGCTTTGACAACTGCTGAAAGGTCTATTAAGGCTCATGATGAGTGTGACCCAGCTTTTTGCAGTAGAAAAGAAGAACATACTGAATTATTCTTTAAAATGGATAATAATCTTTAACCATAATTTGTACTACATCTTGCAAAAAACTTTGAGTTTTCTCCTATGCCTATGCATTCTGCTGCATTCAGTTGTTGGTTCGTGCCAATTATTAAAAAAAAAAACAACCAACCAACCAAAAACACCCAAAACCCCCAGCAAATAAAAGTTCATTCCTGTGTAGATCATTGTGATAAAAATGTTTATTTCCTGTGTAGTGAATGAATAATATCTAAATTGTGTTGAAAAAGGCTACAACCCTATTCCGGAAACCTAGTTTTCTAATACGAGTTTTATAATTTAAGCAAATGAGAAATCATTTGTATTAAGTGGGGAAAAAAGTTAACTTCATCTTAGGAATAAGAACTCTATAACTTCTAAAGTTTAAAAAAGGTAGTCTATCAAAATGACAAAAAAGTGAGGAAAACTATGTAATAAATAATGAATAAGGAGCTCAAAGAGGAAGTAGAGAGGACAACCTAATAAGAATTAGAGATTAATGGTCTCGCAGATTTTCAAAATGCGTTCGTAGGCTGATATCTAGCATAATGGCATGATGCTTGGCCATCCTCTGACTGAGCTCTCTGATCCAAGAGTAGACTTTGAAAGAAAATGTGTATACTATAAGGCTCTGGAGTGAACTCATAGTTTTGGTGTTAATATTTACAGACTGTGATATTGCAGTTGCACTTTTCCTTCTCAGAAGTTCCTGCAGCTTTAGCTGCCCTTGCTGTATTCACAGAGAACGTGCTAGGTGGAGGAGCTTCATTTCTGGCAGTCTTAGTAGACCAGCAGTCTGTTAATTCACTCTCTGTGCACTGTCAACGTTGGGCCTCAATTCTGATACTGAGGTGAATGATTTTTCCTGCTGGAGACCTGAATGCTGAAAAATTACAATAAATTTTTATATGCAGGCAATATCAGGAAGATATCATGCAATCAAATGGTGAAAGAAAATAAAGATGAGAACATGTAAATAGGGCCTGGTTGTCTTATGGTAAATTTGTCTTGTTCTGAGCTGTGCTACTGGATTTGAGGTAACATACTTTGTGTGTTGGCATTCATATCTACTGTAAGTCAATGCACTAAACAGTATCGTTAGCAGTAGTGAATCATCTTCATATTCTTGTCATAAAATTTGGGATTGCTTGGCAAAAGTTAGGATAGTCTCAGCTGATGTGAGGGTCTAGATGTTTTTTAAGGACAAAAGCGCAAGTGATATGACAAACCTGAGATATGTATGTGTATATTTGTACTCAAGAGGCCTGGTCTGGGCTTCCTCATTTGTCCTGGTGTTTGGTGGTTCCCACCCTCTTCCCCTCCTTCCAAGTAAGATGAGGAGCAGGGGGAAAGTGCCCCCAGCTTTTGCTTGGGCAAGCAGCAGGACCTGTGGCAATCAGTGCTGACTTGGAGCAGTCTTAGTGATCTCAGTGGGGGTTCGGTGAGGCAATGGACATCGTAGCAAAGTGAATAAAGTGGGTTATCCAGAGGTGTCTTTCAGTCACTTGTACATTTGAGATAGAGCCGCTTCTCCCAGCGGCCTCCTTGTTTTGTGTAGATTCTGTTCCTTCAGTGCAGCTGGTGCATCCAACTGCTGCCATCCAGGCATCCTATGGCAGAGAGTGAGGAATCTTCTTTCCTAGAGAAAGAAAGGGAATGAAGTCCTTAAGAAGACAAAAATGATTTTTTTTTTTAAATGTAGGTTTAAGAAAAATGTGTTACTGATTTAGCTGAGAAGAAAAGCAAAAGCTCTAACATAGGTGTTATGTCTGTTGCAGCACCAAAAAAGTTTATTCAAAGCCAATGACAGTAGTAGCACTAAAGAGTGGTTTTGTTCTGAGGCAACATTTAAATGTTTTTTAAAAAAATCTTCGATTTCAGACAGTCTGTTGGAACAACTACAAATAACATGGTAGAGTACATAAGGTGCTAAAGGGTACTAGGATATCAGAATACTTTTAAATGCTGCTGTTTTGATCTCTGATTGCAAGAAGGTAGAGTAAAACGCTTAACTTTGGGTCTTTACTAACTCTCATTGTTTGTTGCTTCCCACTCTTTTCTCCCTTCAACCACCCAGTTCCTTTCATTTGGCTGAGGATGTTGTTAATGCAAACCAAGAACAATTTCTTTTATGTTTCTTAAAGCTGACAGATCTGTGTCATCCCCATAAAAATGGGGACAACTGCTACAAATAACTCAGAGGTGTTACATTTATTTCAGTCACAATTAGGCTAGGACAGAGCCTTGAGCCATGCCACGTATCAGGTTAAAATGAAATACAAATCACTTGGCCAGTTGAGAGGGTTAGGAAATTTTATACTGAGGCAAAGAAAGATTTTAAGTAGCTGATGAAGGCATTGAACAAATTCAGCAGTGAACGTAACCCTGTGTGACCTAAATTTACACTACTGGTGTCCTTACCCTACGCCAAGAGCTGTTACAAGAAGTCTGGGTTACTTGGTGCACACAGTCAGAGTATGAGCAACTTGCTCCTGTCCTCCCTTTGTGACAGGAGGTGCTCCCAATGGAATGGGGAACAAACCTAGGTGATGTGCTGGAGGGGTTAATGTAATGGGATAAATTTGAGTTTGTGGAGGATTTTCAAGGAGCAGTGGTGTGTATATTTGGAGTTGTGTGCTACATTATCAAAAGCTTTAGAATTAAGAAAATAACATCGCACCCTAAGAAGATGGTATTAAGGCACATGGTGTAGCAGAGATTGTCCTACCAGGCAATGTGTAGTCTTCAATGGGCCAGTTTTATTGCGATGTACAGCCCTTGCCAGATATCCGTCTTCAAGATTACACCAAAGCTTAGGCATAGAAAGCCTGCCTCAGTTGTATAAAAATAAGATTTTGGCATGAGGCAAGGAGAGTCCAGCCTAGTTGCTTATCGTGGCTGATAAATAGTGGAAGTATCATTGTAAAAGCTTGTAGGAGAGGCAACAGCTCTGCAGGTGGGAGTCCTATAGAGTGTCAGTAAGTGAATCTGACCTGAAACGGTTCTGCAAGGCTTTTTGAACTAAGAAGATTGGGTGGGTGGAGACCAAAGAGTAGCAGGGGTGGTGTCATCTGACTTGGCTAGGCTACTAGCTCTGGCTGCTTCTCTCTAGCCAGTGGACTCTACCTGATCTAGAGGATGGCTAGTTCAGCTGGATAATGCAGAGTCTGAAACAGTATCTGTATCTCACTGTGATTCTTTTTGGAAGTCACAGATCAATCCATTTATTTTAGAAGTGGAGGCTTGTCTTGAGCCCAGAAATACATAAGCTTTGTCTTTTTTACCCTTAGTAGTGTGTTCTACTAGTTGTAATGAATAAAACAAAACCAAAAAAACACCCCAACCCTCCCCAGCAAACCACCAAAAAAAACCCCGTAAACACCTGAGTGAAAAATGTTTACTTGACACCTCTATTGTGACAAAATGGGGCAAAAATGTCAAATGTTCCCATTAGAGACTTGCCAGTTTACTAACACTGCTTGTATCACCAATGCAAATTATTTAAGCTGCTAAGATATAGATCAGTGTTCCTGAGTTGTTAGCAGTGTTTTGTTTAATGAACTCCATATACTGTTGTTTTGCTTTCTTGTTAAATGTTTTGTAAAACTAGAATTTATTTTACAGGTCCTTTCTCCTTCAAGATGGGGGTTGTCTGTTAGATAAGTTTAACTCCTGATGGCTTGTGATGGTATCAAAGGCACCTTTTAAATGTAGATCACCTGTAGATCATATTCTAACTCTTAACATAGACTTAAATTCAAGATAAATTACTTGAAGTCTTTGACTGCTTAAACTTAAATTCCTCAAGTTACTTAAATGGAAAGTGCATGGAGGATTTCCATAAATAATACTCACCAGTGTCACTGAATTGTAAATCTATTTCTGAAATAAACAATTCTGTTTCGTAGCAAGAAATATGTTTGAATTGCCCACTTAAATGAGTTGGAACTGCTGCAAGGAATGCTGTTTCTGGCAACCTTCTTCAATTTAGACATAGTTTCACTGAAAATTGTTTAGATTTTAGTTGTGGTATGGTGGGCAATTTTGCTGCATATTGATTATCTTGCTGCCGCAGTTTTGAGTTGTAGGAACATCTGCAGAGTGGATATTCCCATCACAAGAAAGTAAGCTAGTATTAGATTCCTTGCAGCACGAATGATGGTTCAGCTTTTGATTTAACAAGGGGACAAACTGAGAGTTCCTTAAACCTCACCATTGTTGTCATGTGAGTGTAAATGTGCTGAACCCAGTACAAAGTCAGTGCAATCTTGAAAGTGAATTTCTGCAGTGACGACAAATACGCTTCTCTCTGTATGTGAACTACCAATATCCTCGATATTGCAAGATCCATTCACCTGGGAGTATTTTACGACTCTTGTGGATATTGAAATAATCTAATGAAACACTAAGTTATTTACCTTTAAGCATCTATTGACTTATTGGAGCATTAACTCTATTCATAGTGAAATAGAAAGCTAACACAAACATGGTGTCTGCCATGGCAGTAGTAAGGCTGGTTCTTTATTTGGGCAATAAATGTAACTGCATTATGCAATTTAGCTTAAACTTAGCTTTTATGTTATTTAGGTTAAACCTTGTCATGCTTCATTGGAATGTGTAGGTGTAGTTATTCTGTCTTTGAAGACCTGAGGCTCTGAGCTTACAGTAGGAATTGGTAGCAAAACTATAGAATTCAGTGTACTTGCAAAGATTATTGCTTTAGCCTTTTTAAATAAAAAGGACACTTGATTTTCCTTTGTTACTTCTTACCCAGTGGATTCTAGTCCTTTACATGACTCTGCAAATGCTGCCTTATATTTCTTTCTACATGCAGACTTCAGTCTTCTGATGTGGAATAGAAAGAATGAGATTTTTAATGACTTAAAAACCCCATATGTTGATGTTGTCTTTTCTTGTTTGTATTTTCAGTATTAAACTTTGTTTGAAATATTTTTATAATTCTTTATAATGCTACCTTTGTGTTGGTGGTGATGATTTAAAATGGCAGGTAAGTATGCTGCAATGCTGAGATCTAATTAAATGCTGGGTCCTTCTCATGACCTTCACATTTTCTTAGCCTGTACATCTTTGGATGCTATTGAGTTGTTAGAAAACCTATGTTATGATAACTGCATTCTCTCCTTGGCTATTACAGCTCTGCTGAGTCTTAAAACTATTTCCTGCTAAATATTTCTTTTCCGTGCTTATGTACATTCCACACCAGCAAATCCTTTAATAAGTAATTTAATGTGATTATTTTGAAAAAAGCAAGTCCTCACCCTCCTGTCTCCTCTCCTAGGCATTGCAAACCATTTGGGTTAAAGAGAATCTTATCCAGGCAATCATAACTCTCAATCTAAATACCTTACTGCAGGATAATAGGGTTTTCCTGTTCTTACACAAGAGCTGGGCAGGTGGTATAGTACTGTCAGTGCAATATGAAGAGCAAATGTTTACATCTTGTATTTATTCTAATTCCTTGGTGGCTCTCAATATGCTGGTTGGTTGCAAAACCAGCAGTAAGCTGTTGCACAAGAAATCATATATCTATCTGCCAATGGAGAGCATTATCACAATAGGCCAGTCTTAGTTACTGCCTCGGAGAGGACTACAGCAAAAAGGACAGTTCTGAAGACTAAGCGCAGAATAAAACCAAGGCTATCTTCACGCCCTTGGATGATATCAGGAATCTGAAAGCTTGCACTGTTAAGGTGTATGAGTGGTATGTCCAAGACTTGTTTGCATGAATTAGATTCTACTTATAGTTTGATTTTTCTCTTCTTTAGTATAATGCTTCACCACAGCAGCAGAGAGATATAATAAAGAGTAGGAGTCTGGACAGGAGGCTACAAGAACCAATAGTTTTAACAAAATGGAGGCACAGCACAATTGTGTTGGACACCAATGATAAGGTAGGAGCAAGTTAAACAGCATGCTGGAATACCAACTATTTCTGATGTCTGAAGTATTTGATCTAACAAATGAGTATGCATGAATTACTGAAATATCATTTTTCTTCTGTTGTATCATTGTGTATAACATTCAGCGAAACCAAGGGCTGTTTGGTAACTTTACTACTGTTATTTTGTGAGTAGTAGCTCTTTTCTTGTTATCCTTGAAGTATTTTAACTAGTGTTAGTTCAGGGTTTGGCGTGTACAGCCATTTCACTTATAATTGGGAATCTCCTAATTCAGTTTAGGCTATGGAGTGTAATTAGGGTATGAATTCAAGAATTACAGATGTGGGTGAGGTTCTCATGTAAGGTATAGTGATGTTTCATGGCCAAATGTTTTTAGCTGTAGGAAACACCAAGTAGGAATACACTTGAAAGATTTCAGATGAATAACTGAAATACTCACAGAATTGAAATAAAATAAAAGTTGCACTTGCTAAAGTAAAAACTATGACTTAAAGATGTAAATAGTAGATTTTATATAGTGGATTTATCCCTTTAATGGCTATTCCATTGATCTCCACTTTAATATGTCAAGGAAAGACGAAAAGCTGTGTGTGGTTACAGCAGGGTTGTAATCTTTTATTGAAGGACAGAGGACAGTACTGAAAGTGCTGAAATGCTGGGCTTTGATCCTGTCCAGAGCTGAGCTGGGTGTTTAGTCTGAAAAGAGCTGCAGGTCAGTAACAACGAAAGCTGTTTTCTGCCTGTTCTTAGGGCATGTTCTTGATAGTCTGTTGTGGACTGTACAGTAACGGATGCTGTTTAGGCCAACAAGGAGACACAGCCTCTCCCTTGCTCTCCCTCTGCCCGTCTCTCTCTGGGTTGATTTTTGTCCCAGCCATTTCTGCTTGTGCTGCCTGTGGGTGAGGAGACTTGATGTGAGCTGAGCGGGGAGAACTGAAACGGGTGTTGTAGGGTAGTGACTTGCTGGTTTCTGTAACTTTGCAGCAGTCCACCCCAAGATTCATGGAAACTGAAATACTTTGTAATGCTGAAATCTTAGCACAGACTACTGAGAATGAGATACCAGGAAACGGCATTGTAAGCTCCCTTTTTCTAAAGATACAGGGAAAAATTAAATGAATGTAGGTTTGGAAGTATGGAGAAAAGCCTATAAGTGGGCCTGTGTAATTGCATATGTTAAAGACAAACTTAAATGGACAAAACATAGTAGTTGTAATGAAAATGGATCTGCTGCCCAGAATGTTACTTGCTTGACCTTTTGTTTCCGGTATGTTTTAATGGCTTTCCTTGTTGAAATGGAGTATAGGAGAGTGGGTTGTCATGAGTTGACTTAGTTCCTCAGGGTAGGATTTATTGGATTCGATGTTAAGCTTTTGAGCTGTCAGTTTAGAATATATCATAAGTGGTGCTGAGGAGGCAGTGGACCATGCTTGGCTGGAAACCTTGCACCTGTACACATTAGTTTAGCCTGAGCGATTCTGAGGTCCCTCTACTGCTCCTTTCCCCTCCCAACTCCTTCTTACGCATCCTTCTGTACTGAGTGTGTTGTGGCACTGCATGAGAGAGAGCCTAGATGGACTCCTAATAAATCAAAGCTGAGTGGACACTTTTAGCCTCATGTGCGATTTACGCTTCACAGGTATGAACAATTCTGTTGGAGATAGCTCAAAGTTTTGGCCTCACATTTAAAAGAAGACTTATCTTTTTATTTTTTGGTGTAAGATTTACTTCTGTTTTGGAACAACCTCTATGTAGTGCTGCACTGAATGAAGAAGCTCTTGTAGAACATTGAATACATGGGCTGTTTACTTTTCTTCAAGACCCAATGTTCAAATACCAAGACCTTAAACCTAGTGAAGCAAACATGGAAGTGTACAAATGCCTAGTGTGATAACCAAAAGAAACTGTATATATGAGCCACATTTGTAAAGTCTAAGTCAGTAGCTTAAAGTTCCTTTAACAGCTTCAAAAGATGCAGCATACATTTTTTAATGGTAAGGAGACTATGTAGCTCATGTAAAGCACAATGTTAATGCTTGGAGAAAATTAAAAATGTGTAGGGGAGCAATAAACTAGTGTTTTGTGGAAAGAAAATTTGTTTACTGCATTGATGTACCCATTTTATTACCACTGGCAGGTACACCGTTATGTAGTCTGCTTTAAATTAGTATGTGGAAAGGGAATAGTTCATGACCATAAATACTGGATTTCTTGTTTCAGAGTTGCTTAGTGTGTGAAAGCTATCTCAAATTCAGAATGAAATAGAGAGAAAAACAACTGGTATTTGTCTGGATAGGCACATCAACCCCAAGTTAGCTTTTTAGCTGACTCCTAGGGAAGCTATTTTCTTTTTATTTTCCTTATTTGTTTTTCCTGGAAAAACAACACAACTGAATTCTGTGAAAATAGGCCAGTCAAAAGAGTGCTGGAAATGTGTCAGTGAAAGCATGGGTTGCCATGGCTGATGAGAATTTGATGATACCAAATGTACTTGTTAACTGTTTATTGGCTGTAGCATGTATCTGTATGTAGCCATCAGCTAAACAATTTGATAAGTAGAGGAAAAAATACCCTCCCGGGAGGGACAACATTGACTTTCTGAATTTTTAACATATCCCCCCCCCCGCCCCATGCCAGCATCTGAAAATATGGAACATTTAGGCTGTTCTTAGGATTGCTAATATTGTCTGTTACTATGCTACTAAAAGAACCAGTGGGCCACTTCTGTAGGTAGATTTACAAGTGAATTTTAAAGCATGGGTGTGCAGAGCATTATGTAATGCAGGAAAAGCAAACTGAATTTGGGAGAGGTATCAAAGGGATTAAAAAGAGGGAGGGGGAGAAAAGTGTTAACAGTAACAGAGAACAAATGATGTTTTTCTTCTGTTTGAAATTCTTCACCAGATTTTTAAGCAGTGTATTTGTGCAAAGCAATCAATACATCAGAGGAAACGCACATGCCTTTTTTTGTTCCAGATGGGCAATTTTTCCAGTTTTCAGAGATTTACTACTCTCTTTTGGTCCATAGTTAATGTCTAGTTTAAAACAAAAACCTGAATCTCTAGAAATTTTCAGTGCTTGATTATAAGGAAATTAATGATCATGACTCACAAAAATTAATAGAGTTGGTATATGATTTTCTACATGTATAACAATTTATTGTATTAATTTTATATTTACTAACCACACAGAGGCATAATCTGTTCTTTAAAGTCTTGGTAATTATATATGGTGCCCTGTAATAAGTTAGTATTATAAATGTGTTTCATAATTTGATAGCAATGTCATACAAAAAAAATCTGTCCCTCAATAAGGATGAAAGCTTTGTTTTAAGCTGATACTGTATGTATTAACACTTTTTTCAAATGGATATGTGCTAATTAACCCAGTTTGAGTGTTGTCTGTAAATCTTGTAAGAACACTGTTTAGTAAGCAGGTTTATAATGTAACTATCTGAGAATATAATGAATGCTTAAAAAAAAAGTGCTTTTTTTTTTGGTAATGTGTGAATGTGCATAGAGAGAGAGAGAAAATATCTTTAGGGGTAAAAAAAAAAAGTACAAGAATTATAAGAAAGGTAATAACTTATGTTGCCTATTTGAATTTTATAGGAATCATCAACTGCTTCTAAGGCCAGTTTTCCTGAAAATGAGTCCTCTCCTTCTTCACCAAAGCATCAAGCCACAGTCAGTATGCAAAGTTTTTAAATAGATAAGTAGATGTTGTAGAAACTGGGCTATTCATGATTAGAGAATTGAGGGTAAGCCTGCTTGTTATTGAGAAAAATAATGGGATAAAACTATTATGAAGGCATTACATTTTAAAAGGAATGCATTGTATCCAACTGTGCTTTCAGAAAAAAGGTAAATGTCTTTGGTTTAAATACAGCTTGGCAATAGGAGATTAAGTTAAAAATTCACAGTGGAATAAAGTTATGTCAAATTATGTGGAATTTGGTTTACTTCCTCCAACAGTCATGTCTTCTCACCTAGCAACTTGGAAGGTAAAAACAGAAACAAACTCCCCCCTCTCTGCAGAATCTCTCACTGTCAGTAGTCAGTAATAGTTTGTAGTATTTCATATCTTTATTTTTTACTTGTCTTTTCAAGGAGACTGAAACACATGGAGGACCTGACAGAAATAAACTATGTCTTTTTGATTTAGTAGAATAACTACTGGGAAGAAAACTTAAGCTTGTTAAACTTGTTATGACTGTTTAACAGTTTTGCTTCAGTTTATACTTTAAATGTGATCATTGCTTTCTAAACAGTGGGAAATAATTCAAAAAATAAAGCTTTTATTTTTTTCTTTTTAAGATTTTGGAAATGTATTACAGTAGCATTGAAATATGTGCCTTGATCAGTTTTAGCAGCCCTTTAGTAGGTAGCTCAGGGCATCAAAGGCACAACTTCTCCTATTTCATTCTTACTCTGCACACAGAGGAATGGTTCTCTGGCTTATTCATGCTAATCCATTCTTACAACTCTTCAAACGGTTTTCCACAATAAAATAAACATTGTTTATTAAGCAAGCATGGTTGATAGCCTTACACACAAGCAATTATTGCTGCATGTATTCTAATTTCTTTAAATATGGCTCAAACTTTGCATTATTAAAATGGTATTTTGTAGAAGAGCTCACTGCTGCTTTAGATAAATGCAGCTTATTTTTTTATATTTCTTTTAGCTGTCCCCTGAGATTTAAATATTAGAAAGCAAGCTGGTGAATTTTTGTGTATTTTGGTCCTTAACTTGCTTTCCACTTCCTTTTCCCCAATTACATTAATTTTCCCATTAGTACCCCCTAGTGTTGCTGCGAAGTAGGGCATTACGATGCTTTGTCTGAATAATTCTTTGGAGCATTCCCACTGGTTCCTCTGAGTAATTTATTAAAACCATAATTTATTTGAGAGAGTTGGCATGGGTTGCTCAGTCACTGTGAAAGACGGTGACAGGCTGTTCTACTTACTAAAGCCAAAGGTTTGTTACAAGGGTGCAATGCATAGGACTGTTAGTGGTGGTCTGCGTGGATCACAAATAAAGAAATCTAAGGAATGGGTGCTTTTTTTTCTTTCTTTTTTGGCGGGGGGGAGCAGGGAAGTGACTCATTTTTTCTATTGAATGTATCAGTTTTGTAAAATAATGTATTTATCACTGGCTTGGGAAAAAATTCCAGCACAATGGAGAGATTAAATTGAGTAAGAGTAGCAGTTACCATTGTACTGAAACAGTATCTGAACCACCAGCTATATGCTATCATCCTTGAAAACATGTCTTTTTTCTATTTTATGTGCTGTGCTTGAAACATGCAGGTAGAATTTTTAAGATTCATGAAAAACAGATCTATGTCTTTGGTAAGAGTGTTGTCACAGTATCCCAGCAAAAAAATTCTATTTGATACTGTGTTTTGCAGTTATGGTCCACTTAAATTTGAGATTTAGAGGAGAATGCTGAAGAGAATATATCTTCTATTTTGATTGGATCTAGAATTGAGGACGTTTTCGTTATGATAAAACTAATTTGCATCCTTTCCCTAGTTGATTGTTTCAACTAATAGCTTAGTTCTTAAATTAGGAACTGTTACAAGCTGATACTGAAAAGGAATTCATTTAAAAAAAATAATTTAACATTTCTTTAGCACCATTCGTTGGTAGGACAAGGACAGGAGAAAATGATAGAATTTGTTACTCATATTGAGAGTCAAAAATGGTATAAATCAATGGTTTTCCTTTTTATCTCAGAATGTTTTTTCAAACATTCCTTTATTTTATTATTTTTGTGTAGAAACTAGAAATATTCATTCTAAATATTTGAAACGTGCAAATACACTTCTTGTTCAGCGGTGTGTTTTCCACCATTTACTGACTGATCTCCAAATTTGTCCACAGGCATACCAATATAAATGATTTTCATCAGCAAGACAGAACTAAGTAGTTTAAAATTCTAATATTTTGCTTGGGGATAGGAAAAAATAGGACATCAAAGAAATGTTTCACTCATCTGTTTTTTTTGAAATGAATATGTTAATATTCTTATGCATTTCAACCATGTTGTATTAAAATATGCAATTATGTTAAAATAACTTGGAAGAATTTTGTCAGAGAGTTTAGGCTGGCTGTTTGTCATCCATCTCCTTTTTTAGTAAAGAACACAAACACAAATGTGCTATTACAAAAATTATTGTAAATTTATGTTTAAAATTTCTACTGTCTGGTACCACAAATGATTTAGTTTGGCTTGTCCGAAAAACATAGGCCTTGAAGAAGGAAAGCTTTTTACCCTCTGAATGGTAATGAGTACTTTCCCAGAAGAATTTTGATTTTGTTGATCTCTGCTTATTTAAATATACTTAAGACAGTTTCTTGAAGTTATAACATGGGGAAAGATGACTGATTGCCAGAAATGGATTATTTGGGGGATTGAATTCAGTGCTGTGATGGCAATAGAAGCAGATTTTCTTTTATATTTGTTCTGTCTTGCTCTATCTTACAGGGTCAAGAGAAGTATGGGCTGTTGAATGTGACAAAAATTACAGAAAATGGGAAAAAAGTTCGGTAAGTCTTGGACTTCTAGAAGTACATGTGCATAAGCGTCTGTGTAAGGTATCTGACTTTTATATTGGGATAGCATACTGGGTGTTGCAATTTCTTACTTTCTGTCCGATTTTGCCTGAGAGGTTTTCCTGTAGGACACAGCGTTTCCTTATCCCAAAGTATGTGCTTCTCCCAGTGTGCTAAAGATAACGGACTTCAGAGAGCCAGAGGCTCGTGTATGCCAGGGCTCCACACAGGGCAGTGATTTCATGGAAGTGTACTGATGAGAGACAGCTTTTAAAAATGGGATTGATGTATTTGTTTAAGAGAAAACCTGTATAGGTTATAGCCTGTCTTGTTCCTTGGATAGAATTGGTGTAGGAGGGGCTTTCAGACTTTCACTTCATCTCCTTTAATTTCCAAGGAGGGTACATGTCATGTGCTCCCTAATTCTTCTTTCACTCTGCTTGTGAAGGGTTTGAAGCAGAATGTATCACCCAATGTTGGTCTCCCTGGAGGAGACGAATGACCTCATTTCCAACTTTTTTTTCTGCCTCACAGGCAGGCATTTACATTATAAATCATAATGTATAATCAAGTAATGCTGTCTAACTTACATTTCTGGTGTTTTGCTAAGAGTCAGTGTTAAATACTGCGTAAGTGTGGCACATCCTCAGATTTAATTTAGGTTTACTTTTTACTTTTTTTAAACTTTTTAAAATTTAATCTTTTAGGTCTAATACTGTGTTATATCTAGCTCAGTGTTTCCCAGATTTTTGATATATGAAGCATGCTTTTCCTCAAGATTAAATAGTCAGCACCCAGCTGATATTCCAGAGCCACCCTGACCTAGTACAGTGCAGCTTGGCAGCGTGTATGACCCCCACTTTGATTCCTTAGAGCTGTTCCTAAGAGCTTGGTAGGAAAGAGTGGACGGTGGCTCATGTAAGCTGCTACTGGCACAATATACTGTCACCATTTATGTTGCATCTGTTGGAGTCATTGATTTGGATTACTGTACAGGAAGATGCAACGTGGCCATCCTATCACTTTAAGAGCTGTTGAATAATAATTCATGTTTGAGCAATGGGAATAGATTGTCAGGGCTTGTCAGGCTTTTATTTTTTTTAACCTCAGGAAGATGGGTACCCAGGCATAAAAGCAAATAGACAGCTGGAACAACTAATTTGTTCTTTTTCTGCATTTTTTAGATGTGTAGCAAATATTTTATTGCCAATATAAATGAGTTTATCACATAAACGTGGGATGCTTGCATCCCAGTTAGATGTGATTAATCAGTTTCAGAATTATGCAGTATTTTGACATAATCTACTAAGTAAACTGTAGGCTGAGTGTTCCAGATTAACCCCTTTGAAATTATAATTGTATGGTGTTTCTCCTGGTGAACTGCTTTCACTACTAATTAGCTCTCTTTGATTTAGTCTTTGATGGTCAGGCTGGGACTGTTAACATATGTTCCCTTCTACAAATATGATAGCAATTAAGACTTACTGATGGCACTAATGACCATATATATAGTTAAGTATATTAACATACGGGTCAGCTGGGCAACAATGATCGACAGCTTAAATATCTACTTTCAAAGTCAATTTATCCTATGTTTGTTTACAAATATTTACAGAAAGAATTGGATGTCATCGTGGGCAGTGTTACAAGGTTCATCACTGCTGTTCACTAAAACCCAAGGAAGTGGAACTGGCTGGGTAAGCTCAGGAACAACCCCCACCCTCATATAAGTGTTAATCACAAAGCACAATATATTAAAGCCTTCTTATTTGTAGGGCTTAAATACTGATATGCATGCATAATTTAGGAAAGATAAATGTGTGTAAGTTAGCAGGAGGGTAGTTTAATGTAACAATTATGATGTAGAATGAGAAGAAAACCAGTTCTACTTTCTTATTTTTATATGTGATAAGTAAGAAACTGATAAAGAGGTATTCAGGTGCCCTGTAAGCTTGAAATTTTTGTTCCAGGCCAAATATTTTTGTGTTCTTTACTAATGCGTTTGTCTAAACAGTTTGTTTGTTTTACCATTCTTGGTTATTTTTTTCATAAACTTCAGGTAATTTTGAATGTTATACATGTAATAAAGAAAATAGTCTGAAACTTGGCTTGTTGTGTTGGACTATTTGAATAATGTAGTATTGTTGTCTTATTTAGTCTTTGCCTTTCTGGATTCCATATTTTGTTTTAAATCTGCATAGTGCATGACAAATATTTGTATCTATTTTGATGTCTGATGAAGACCTAAAGAGAAACATCACACTGAAGATAATGAAGATTATTCAATTTTTATATCACCTCTAATTTATTAGTACTATAATTAAATTGGCTATATTTATCCAGCTGCATTCCTACATTAATATGTATAGAAATGGTTCTTTATCTACAGCTTGCTTACGTACTTTTGGAGATCTGACATTAAACTCTGTGGATCTCCTATAATAACTAAAGAGAGGTCAGATTCAGTATTTGTTATTCCAGTGTATTATCATGCAAATTCCAGCAAAATTGCATCTTACACATATATGCTATCTTGCTTCTCTTTGCTGATCTTTCTACTTGGCTCACTTTCTCCTGCTGTGCTTCTTTTTGGGTAGTGAATTGGTATTGACTATTCTAAAACATTAAGTTCATTTCAGAGCTGTAAACATCATCCTTTTTGCCCTTCTGTTGCTGTAGAAGGGGTGGTTGGAAAAAAATGGGTGAGGATGGATAAATAACATTTAGGGTAGAAGAGAATGGAAAGAGTGAAGTTGGGCAAGTTGGTCAAGCAGAAGGAAAAGAGAAGGGAAGGAAAAAGAATAGAAATTAAAGGCATGAGATAAGGTAAATTATGCTGTCTGGTAGGAATTGAACTTGGTGACTCCTGCAACTTACTTTTATAGTAAAGGGTCCAAAAAGTACTTTAGTTTTACAAGTATAAATATGCATGTCTGGAAAGTATAACATTTCGCCTGAGTAACTAATCAAGTTCCAAAATCTCAATTACAGCTACTAATACTCCAAATGTAGCTGTAGTTCAAAACCCACATTATTTTATCTATACAGTGATATCGTTAAAAGACACAGTGCTAAACTAAGATACTGTTTATGAATGTATGATACTGTTATGAATGAATGTGTGTCTAAATGAATTTTCCATAAAAGGTAATCATGCAACTCTGCTTATTGCTTAGGGATACTAGTGTAAGTTATGTTACACTTTCCAAATACAGTCATTAGGAAAAAAAAAGGCATAAATGCTTTTGAAATTTAAGTGGAGCAAAAGTATCATAGTGATAATATTTCTGTGACACTCTTGGGTATGTGTACTGTCAAGTATTGGAGTAAGGTCAGCAAAATAAATATCAACAGTATGAACAGAATACAGTGAAGCTGGAAATATTGAGAGAGAAGCTCTTTCAAGGACTTTGTGTTGTATACCTGCATATGTGCGGTTGGCTTTGTAAATATGTAATTAAATATTCAGCACACACTCTTTTTGCTTTCTGTGTAGGAAATTTGGGGGGGGGGCATTAGAAATTCCACCTCCCTTCTCAAACTTTGATCTGTGTCAGTATTTTAATAAGGTGAAGTTAAGTCTTAACAGTTTGACATAAAATGAGAATTACATTTCTTCTTCATCTTGGGAGAAGAACATTTGTTTAGCATTTGTCTAGTGATTGATATAACCATATTTTTTTTTGGTGCATTGTTTTGTGACTTCATCACTTTTCTTCCTTTTTCTCATCAAGTCATTTTGCCAAGGGGGCTCAATTCCTGAGCTCTTGCTCTCGCTGCTTTCTTCTTGGAAAAATGCTCTCAGTCGTCGACCTGCTGTCACCTATGTAAACTCTGACCAAGTTTCAGCTATCACTGTATGTGTTCTTGTTGCATGCCTCTTGTCACTGTAAGGCTATTTACCACTAATCTTGAAAGTAAATCTGAATTTTCCCAAGATTTAAGTTTTGTCACTTCATATAACACCTTGTGTATCCTGTTTGCTGTTTTCTGAAAGTCATCCAAGATGTGAATTAACACAAGTGATTGCAATAATCCTGTAATTGTTCTAATGGAAGGAACTAGAAAGAGTATCTGGTTCATGAGTGCCAGAATTATAATCCCAAATTTGCCTACTGTTTGAAGCAGTAGTGTCTTGACTAATAAACAGCATGATATGGTGGTCAGTTTCTTAACAGATATTTTATGTCTAATTCTTTCTAACATAACTAATTTAGAATGTTTGTAAGGTGCCTATGATGCCTTTGATACAATGATGTACATGTTATTTGTTAATTCTAGCTATAATTGGAATACCCCCAAAATGTAAATGTTATGCATAAAAAGCTGAAAGGAAAAGAGATCAAGGATGTTCTGGCTATATGCCACATACAGAAAGCTGATGGAAATTTGTAGGACTCCATATATAATTTATGCATCTGTAGTTAGACATGTTTTGAAGTGTAGATGTCAAGCATAGAAGCGCTGCTTATGAGAAACTGATAAAATGTTGGTAGCTGATATGGTAGCTTGTTGCTCAAGGTGGATGAGGAGGAATTTTTAATGATACTAGTGTTAGAAGAAACAAACAGGCTTGATGGGTTGTATAATTGGTTTTTAATATTGCTTTCTCAGCACTCTTATCAAACTAAAGCTTTCATGGAAAAAATCATATGCTGACGACATTAAAAGCAATGTTTCAATAATTTGACTTCTTGACAATTTGAAAGTGTCAGTGGTGTTTAAAACTATTTTGGTATCTTGACTTGTATTTCCTGAAGAGTGGCAAGAGAGCTATGTATTTTGAGATCATTTAAGATTCCTGAGACTTCTAGAATGACCGTTTTGATGACCAGTCCTTTAATTTTTTTTTTTTCCCCCTGTCATGGGGACTAACTGTAGGCTTGGTCAGTTAACCTTGTGCTAAAAATGAAGCAAATTATGCTTTTTCTTTGTCAAATTCATTGCTATGTATGTGGAAGCCTGGAACAGATAATTTGTACACAGTTTGGTATCCTTTAAAATATTACTTTCTATAAGGAAATCTGGAGTTTTTAACGAGTCTTTTCACAGAAATTTTAAATTTTCAACTGTTGGAAGATGGTGTGTCTCAACTTTTGGCGTGAATGGGTTGTAATAGCCATTGCCAAATTTTAGCAATGGGGCTTCAAAAAATACAGCAACTGATGACTGCTTGGAAGGATTCATCTGTCAGCCTTCTATAATAGGCACACGTCCTCAGTGTCAAGTACAGTGGTGGTAAACTTCTCCAGCATCAAGGAAATAAATGCTCTTCAAGGTTCATCTGGCAAACTCTTGTTTACTGTGTTATACCACTGTTTATAGCCAAGGATGTTGTATGTATATTACTATAGTTCATTAGTATTGCACAGCTGATTCTACGGGGGCTCAGATGATTATCATGAAAACTATTTGGAAGGCAAACACAACTATCAGTCTGGTTTCAAAAAACTTCCATCATTTTGCTATGATAATAAAGAATATCTTTTATATTTTTCTTTTTTTGTTAAAGCTGTAAGTTCTGAAGCTTCCCTACCAGCCACAAAGGAGCATCTGTCTCCTCAGCTCTATTTCCGCAGTCTGTCTGCGGGTGAGGAGGACTTGAAATTAAAACGTTCTACCCAACTCTGATTAGAAACAGAATTATGAGAATGGCAGATGTCATTTGTACATCCAAAGTCTTCCCACAAATAACACCCAGTTCTGTTTCCAAAGAATGCTGGAATATATCACAGTACAGACTGTGTGGCTTGTCCTGTGGAGGCTTCCAGGAGTTGGAAAAAACTCCTGAAAAGACTGAAAAGCACTTCTATTTATTAGTGTCAGCACACATCAAGGCAGTCCTTAAACTACACAACATCTACTCTGTCTATGGCACCCCTGTCCCCTTCTTTCCAAAAAGTGGAAGTTATTTCTGCCATATAACTACCATAAGCACATCTCATCACTACGCTTTTTTTTCCTAGAAAGCGACTCTAGGACAGCTTCATATCTAGGACAGCTGGCAGCACCATGTATAGACCTCTCCCTCTTTGTCTTGCACTGCTGCCCTTTCCAAACTTCCCAGATGGCTCAAAAGAGAAATCCAGTAAGAAAAAGGTGCTGCTCGGTAAGGGTGGAATTTAACCCTACTAGTGCTGACTTGGTAGCACACTGTTTTGAGAAAGCAGACTTTGTTTAGGTGGCAGCAGATGCTAAAGAGAAAGGTTTTCTTTTTACTGCTCTCAACAGAACATGCTTGCTTCAGGAGAGTTCAATTGCCTTTAGCTAACCCTTGTATGCAGGGCGTCTGAGCAGCCTCGTACAGGATTTGATCCTGGAAGCTTTCAAGGAGGGAAATGGCTGTTGGCATCTTGTTTTCATACACCCAGGAGCAGAAAAGAACCTTGACAGGAAAGCTCATAGGAGAGCCTTGGTAAACTTAAAATTTCCTTGAATTTAGAAATAAAGTTTGTGATGAGTATGTAATATGTTGGTATGTCAGAGGAGCTTTGCAGAGAGGCTGGATTATTTGGATAGGTTTCCCCATCCTTGGATCTCACACAGCAGTTTGGGCACTGCTTGTGTGAATGAGTGGGGGAGGACTTCTTTTTTTCCCCTCTGAGAAATTTAGCTTCTAGTTTTCAGGTTGTTCTGTGCTTCTCTGAAATGCTGAAGGGAGTCAGGTCAAGAAGATGGGTAGAGTGCAAAGGTGTTTTGAGGTAGTACTGCAGGCTGTCAGGTGGGGAGTTCAGCAAGGTGATGTATTAGAGGGCTTTCCTTTTGGTCAAAACAGCAGTCACTTACTTTTTTTTTTTTTTTTGGTTGTTGTTTGTTGATTTCACCCCCAGCAGGGCCTCTCCTGTGCTCCTCAGCATCATCTGGGCAGTGTTTTTAACAAATTCCCCCCAATCCTGCAGAGGACTTTGGCACAAGTCTCCTGCTCTCTCCAGTGCCAAACTCTATAAATTGATTTCTACCCCCAGCACAGAGCAAGGTTGATCTAGGCTGTCAGGAATTGTGTGGCTGGGACGCTTTCATTGTATGTGGAGCAGTTATGTGAATCTCTCTTTAAATAGGCAGCTGCTGCGTAGCTGCCCATAACTGCAAGAGCCATGATGGCCCAGAGATTGTTCCTGTGGACTCCACTGCTGAGCTGGGCCCCTCTCAAAACCTCTACTGTAATTAATAAGAAATGTTCTTGGATGTATCTAAGAATTAAATTAGAAAGCAGAAGGGGTTTTTTTGTTGTTGGTGGTTTTTTTCCCAAGTGCTAATTGGCATTCGGTAAATTAGAAATATTCCCCTATTCTGATATTTCACAGGCAAAATAAAGAAGTTAAGATGCTACTTTCTATTCAACACTTAATTGCCCTTAGGACTCGAGGCAGGGAGATTTTCCAGTGGTAAACAGCCTTTCTAAAACATGATTAGCATTAATTAACATCCATGCTGGGAATTTAATCAGAAGCAGCAGATTAGTTGTGTTTTCTGTACTGTTTTTTCTCCCCTTGGATATGGCTGTTCTTGTACAGGCTGGAAACTTGTGTTTGCAGCAAGGAGCTCGTCTTGGGGCTTACGTCCCCCAGAGCTGTCACACAAACAGCATTCGCACATCAAAGACTTTTTAAAGAAATAGAAAAGAACCTTTCTGATGGATCAGATGCTGCAAGGTTCCTCTAGAACTCTACAGCATTTAATTTCTGTGCTACAACCAAGTGACTTGCAGCTTTCCGTGTTCCGTGTTTTACTTACTTTATTCACAATTAGAGCTCTTTGTTTGTATGGGTCACTGAACTGGTTTCCTTGAGGAATGATATTTCAAAGCTATGTGGTGTAGGTTGAAACCCCAGTAAAAGTACTTTATTTTAAAAAATTGTGATACCTAGTATAAATGTAAAAGTAGTAGGTAAAAATAGCTCCCTGATGTTTTCCTCCAAATTGTTTGCAGGGTTACTTGTGGGTTAAATGCCTTTTTTTTATCACTTCAATTATTTGCTGTTTGTTTAGTAGATAGTGAAATTGAGTTCTGTTTACTTGCTAGTATATACTCTAGTATTGCAATAGAAGCACTACAGAAAAATATAAAATGATGTGAAAAGCATTGTTGGAAATATATATGTATCTATATTTATATATCTCTCATGAAAATGTGAAAACTGAAAGTGCTCTTTCAGTACAGGAGGGATGTGATTCCTATCTAGCAAAACTACTATTTCTGGTTTGATTTTTGGTTTTATATACAACTGTTGATTAACTGACAGCATGTGGTGGTTTGGGGAGGGGGGGGTTGGTGTGGTTTTTTTTTTGTTGTTGTTCAATTACTTATTAGCCAGTTTTGTTTAAAGCTTGGGACAATCTTTACTAAAATCAAGCTACAATCAAATGTTGTGTGGAATTCTACCATTTGTGATAGGAAAAAAAGCTCAGCTGGAATCTGGTTGGCATTTGAAGTTATGGAATTTTAAGGGCTTTAAGCTGAGCAGCTTTTAATAGTCATTCTTAAAGGGTGTTTTGTGTGTGGTTTTTGTTTGGGTTTTGTTTTCCTGGTATCATGCCTGTTGATTTGTGGCAAAGTACTGTATTTGGGTTAAGTTGTATAGACTTTAAATAATGTGTGTTATATTTAGAGGATTGCAAGACTGTGTACCTGTTAGGAGTTTGTTTGTTTTTAAGTTTGTCATCATTGTTCCTTTTTTTCCAGAAGTTTGGTGTCAATCAGTCTAAGCCAGAATTTACAGTGGATCTCAAAGGGGCGTTGATTGACTGGGCCTCAAAGGACAAATCCAGCAAAAAGAATGTTATTGAGGTGAATTATTTTATTTAAGTGCAGAATTATAGGTAATTTAATGACTTAAGAAATTTTCTCTAAACTTAAAATAAAAACTTTGAGTTTTTTACATTTCTTACTGCTCAAATGTAGATATATCTTAGTACCTGCAAGAAATGCCCATTTTTAATATGTCTGTATGGGATATGCTTTTAAATTTTAAGCAGACTGTTATTTACTGTTTTCATTAGTAAGTGTTCTTGAGTGGCTATATATTATCTAAAAGTTATGCCAGGGAGAAGTTTAATTAGATTTAGGTAATTTCACTTTTAAATTCCAGTGTGTTTATCAATTCTGATGATATCTGTTTTTATTTCTTTAAAGCTAAAAACCCGCCAAGGAACTGAGCTCTTAATTCAATCTGATAATGACAGCTTTATTAACGAATGGTATAAAGTTCTTAACTATACCATCAACAATCAGGTATGTGTTTGAATTGTGAATGCTCTGGTTTTAAGGTAATGTTATTTAGTAAAATAATTGATGCAACGACTCCTAGTGCTTCACATACATCTTCATTTCCTGATTGTGGGCAGGAGGTTGAGTATATGGCAGTTCCTGCTGGTGACATGTGAAATATAATTAATAGTTGCAAAGGAATAAGGATGGTCCACTGGATTAAGAACCAGGAGATGTGGGCTGACCTCCAGCTCAGAAATGAGCTTCCTTCTGTGGCCAAATATTTTTTCTGTCTCGGTGACCTAAAAGGTTCCGATAGAGAGGGAGTAAAGGGGGGAGGACAGCCAAGGGAGTGCTTCATGACATACATTAATCAGCATTTGATACTGCTATTCACTTAAGGCTGTACTAAAGTACCAATTAAAAGCCCTGGCAAAATACTGTATTATCTCTTCTTACCAGACAGCATAATGCCAACTATTTAATCACAGAAAAGTGATCAAGCATTTCCTCTTGATATTGCCAAACAAGGTTTACCTTCTTTGAATTCAGAAGAAGTTGGAGGAGATCTTGGAGAAAATACTCCTCTCCTATCAAGTTGACTTCACGTGTTCTTAATTTTTATAGTTACAGGCCTGGCTGCTACCCATAAGCTGCATTTATGTTGCTTTTGATGTCAGTCAGTGGCCTTCATTTCTCCTAGCTCTAATAGCGTTTTCCACATATGGGTGTTTTCTGCACAAACACAGCAGGCTAATATAAATGGTTTAATTTCTTCCTGAGTGCTCGTGGTTTAGGGTCCTAATCTTCTGCTCTCTCTCCTGGTTTGAAAATGTCATGACTCTTAATAACCAGGCAAGGCAGTCACTTGGCGATACCCATCTCCTGTTTGCCCCATGTAATGCAACTGAGGCCACTTCTTCCCTGCTTAAATATAAAGGAAGATGGAAAGGCTGAGACATGCTGAGATGAGAGCGAGGTATTATGTGTTAGGTTGAGGAAGTGGGTGGTGGAATAGGGAGAGTTTATCATCGCTCAGGAGGAAATGGTGATGTATTACTGCTGGGAGCTGAGACACCTAAGATTCCAAGGGAAAAGTTAAAGTAGGTTATTAAACTACCCGATAATTTGGAGCACTGAACCTTTGGGTACAAAAATCCATCGGGTCTGAAGCAAACTTTTAATTTTGGGAACTTTATGGTAGTAGTAGCTGTGAATCTCTTTCCCAGGACAGGCGCTAGTTCTAGTGTGACAAAATCTTCCTCAAAAGAAGGTACAAATGAGATTCTGGTCTCTTTGCTCCTTCATGCTGCTATTGTGGCAATATGCCGTACAAGAGGAATAGCTATCTGCGAAGGATGTGGCTGCTCTTTTTTATGTACAGAGATTTCCAAGTTACTAGATTAGACTTGTTCCATAATACAAACTAGATTGCAGGTGATTTTTTTTTTTTTTTTTCCCCAAAGCAGTTAATGGTTTTAAAACTTATCAATCCTAAAAAGCTTTGAGGCCTCTTGAAGAGAGCACTGTCTAAATGGTCTCAGTGGCAGAGGGATCCTTAGTGGGGACATTAATTGGGCAGTTGAATATATTGATCTTTGATGTGTAAAAAGGCTATCAAAGCTTTTGAAAGGCCACAAGGAATGAGGGTGTTTAACATCTACCCTTCAAGTTAAAGTGCAACTTGGTGAAGTCGTGCTTCTGCTCATTCAGTGCTCTGGAGTGCACAATTTTGCCTTATTTTTAAAATGTCTTTCCTTGTAACAAAAGACACTTTACAGTCAGATTTTTGTAACTGCGTAGAAGTCAAGTTCACTTCAGTAGAAGTGAAGCTGGAAATATGTGGTTTGGAAGGGAGTATGTTGCACTGAGACCAGAGGAAGTTTCTTTTCCTATTTTCTGATATGTCTGCAGTCGTGGGTGTAGCATAGGTATGAGGCTGCAGGTGGGCAGTTTACCAGACTCCGGTATCTGCCTCCACAGCTACAACATGATCTACGTTTTCAATTGACTGTGTTTAATGAGAATATGCTAAGAGCACAATAACACAGGGCAAGAATTTTAGGTGCTGGTATATTTACTTTTTCAGAGTGAATTCAGTGTATGTTTTGACAGTGGTGAAATTTTCCAACTGGTGGTTCTGTTTTCTATTAAGAAAATTTTAATTACAGAGCTCAGAAGTAGGGTAAATGCTCTAGAACTGTTTTTTAGGCTCTATCAAGCGGGTGCTTCTGTAGCAGACCATGAAATAGCTGATGTTTGTCTACTGGATTTAAAAAAACAAAACTCACGAAACCCAACAACCAACACTTCTGTTGGTTGATGTAATGAAGTGTTTTCATGAAAGGCTGGTTTTACTTTGTTCAATGTCCAGCAAAACTTTCTTTATTGGGTCTTGTGATCAAATAGTGTTTCTCAAAGTTATTCACTCTGACAGTGAGAATGGTATCGTCTCTGAAGATACTTGGAGCATCTAGAGTTCAGGAAAGAACCAACTGAATATTATTATAGGGAAAAAAAATATATATTGTAGAACTGTCTACAGGAAATGTGTTTGTTCATGCTATATTCTATGAGTTGTCAAATTGATCACTGTATCTTCTTAAATCTAATAGGTAGTAGAGTCTGATGAAGCATTAGAAGATGATGTACCAGATTCCCCTGGGGTGGAAAAACAAGACAAAGAGAAAGAGAATAAAGACTCTAAGAAACTTCGTTGTAAGTTGAAAATTTTCCATTAATTGATTTTAGCAATGCCAATTCTTATTTTTTGCATCATCAGTATTATAAGTAAATAGAGAAGAATTCAAAAAGACAGCTAGAAATGAAACTATTCAAGTTTGGAAACAGGCTTTTGTATAGTTCATTCTACATCTTGGTGCCAGTTAGTAGATTTTTCTTCCATGTTTTATTAATCATACTTAAAAAAAAAAAAAAAAAAAAAGAAAAAAAGTACCAGATGTCTTTAGCTCCTGCTGTGTGACACATGAAAAATAGGAGAAACTAGGCAGTGGTGAGATGGATTATTTTCAAGGTATTGTCAAATGCACAGAAGTAATTAGACATTTGTTTTCTCTGACTTTTATAAATGGTTTTGAATAAGAATTCTTTTGTCCTTTCATGTGTTCAAAACTGATTAGAATTGTTTTACTTGGTTTTTGTCTGTGGTACAGCATCTGTAAATATTTGCATTAACTTAAACTGCAATTTCACTAAGTTGCTAATGATGTTATATTGGCCCATTTAGAGAAACTAAACAGTTTTAATTACACCTTCAGAATTTTAGAGCTAAATTTCTGTTAGCCACAGAAATTTCTTCCCATGCACAGAAAGATATTAATCAGGAAGACTATTTATTGTCTTTTACTTGCAGGCCTTACATGTAATTTGCAGGAAAGTATTTATTTCTTTCAAAATAGTTAATGAAAGGCAGGACAGGTTTTGAAACATAGGTATATTTTTTTAAATTCCACATCAATTCCATATCTAAGCTACCATTTAGTTAGTTTCACAGGCAATACTTGGTTTTTTAAGATTTTTGTGACTGGGTTGTCTCTTAGTAGTTTGAAAAATGGATGTCATTTACAAGGAGTTCCAAAAAGGTAAGGAAAAATATGTGGATGCATTGCAGATTCGGATAGGTTTTTAATGTGCTTTTGAGCTTAATTTTTTTTAATGTTCGTTTATTAGCAGATAAATGCTGTGTTGGTTCTGTGGATATTCATGCCAAATGCATTTGTCTTTTCAGCAGTGAAAGCACCTAGCAATATAGATACCACAGATCAGAAAAAGACCAAAACGAAGCTCAAGAAGTTTCTTACACGGCGCCCTACGTTACAAGCTGTCCGTGAAAAAGGATACATTAAGGGTAAATGAACCTTTTTAACAAAGGAAATAATTTGAAAAGCTGAATTTAGTAGTTCATGTGTAAAGTAGGGTTAAAGTGGTCTAGTTTTAGAGTAAAAGATGTGTGATAGCTGGTTTAACAAAAGTCTTGGATGTATAGTGGAACTGGTAATTGATTGTCATTCTTCTGAGCACTGCTACTAGCCACTAAACTTCATGGAGGATGTCCTCTCATTCAGCTCATTACTGGCAAAACTGCAGTGAAAATTGAGAGTCCAGGAGCCTGTTTGGACTTGGAGTGCTTCTTGGCTAGAGAGTCCATTTGGTCTGCTGTTCTGAGCTGGAAACTTCAGATGGCTGATAATTGTTTGTGCATACAAAGCTGAATGCATGTGCTCATCTGTTTCACTAGGGTGTTTTAGTCTAAGTGGAACCAGACAATCATGTGCCATTTCATAAGAAATTAAGTGTTTAGGCAAACCAGGATGAGGCTAATGGAATCTTAACTTAAACATCTTTTTTTCCTAACCTTTTTTGAATGTATACATTTTTTTAATTGTTTCACAAACAATGAGTCTTACAGATATTCTTGAATCAAACTTATGAAAGAATTGATTTCCATTTGTCACGCTTGTAGAAGCTTAGAGAGAACAGTATTTGCACAGCTTCAAGTTAACGTGTTTGTGTAAATTATTGACTTGGTACTCACTGTAAAACTTCATTTATTTATTTATTTGTATGCTTTAGCAGGATTTGTAGTTGGTGCTCTACTAGGGTCAAAATAGCATATGGGTAGGCAAACATCAGACCAAATCCTACTGTGATTTGCCTACCTACATACTTTAACAGGTGTGCTTCTGTTGCATGTGGCATTTGATATATTTGTGTATCTGCAAATATAATTTAACTGTAAATTACAGAATTTTTGTTTGGGAGAAGGAAGCATTATTCCCAGACTTTGACGTTTTGCTCTGCTTTACGGCTTAGTATTCATGTCATGACTCAGTGACATAACTTCTGACATTAGCAACAGTGAATGCTAAGCCAAGTTTAATTTGTACACATGCGTGCTGATGATTGGATTTTTAATAAAGATGTTAAGGAATGAAGAGTTTGTTTTTATTTAAAAGCATGGTGTAAATTTTAAAAGTTGGATCTGTGCTGTACAGTTTTATATTTACTGTATGAACGAAAAATACTGAAGCTTTTATTTAAAAGCCCAGTGTACTTTTGTGGCTGCTACAGAACAAGCTTAGTAAACAGAAAACTTGGCAAACCCACTGTAAGCAGAAAAAATAATGAAAAGTTCTAGAAAAAACCCCCACTTGAAACAGCATGCACTAAGCAGAGAAGCAACTGTGCTAAAGTTTTGTTACATGGAAAAACAAAATTACAGAAGTTACTTTAAGATGAGAGGAAAAAATATGATTCCTGTATACGTGGAAATTATTAAAGTTTGAGGCAATTGTAGCAAATCAGTTTGTTACATGCTAATATTGTCTTGTGCTACCTAATTTGCATTGCTTTACCTGCTACAGCTGCATGCTAGCTTGGCTTTCTTACTGTGTGAGCTTTTTCAATCCCTTGCTACTGATTCTGCTTGTACAGCTGGCTGCATGAGTAGCAGCAGCAGGACTGAGGTGGTTTGGGTCACCAGCATTATACGTATACAGCTAATAATACCATTACATGCCAGTTTTCATACTGTATAATTGGTTTGGTGTGCTGTTCGGATTTCCCAAAGCAATGGTCAGATGCAAGTGTTGTTAATGAATCTACTTAAATTACTAAATATGAAAAATGGGCTAGGTGCTATGCATGATGCAAATGCAAGAGCGGTTTCTCTCTGAAGTAAGATCTACTAGGTACTGCGAAGATGGCCACCTACATACCTTATTTAACAGATTAAAAAAAATACAAACAAAACACCAAAAACTTCCTTCTGTTTAAGAGTGTGAGCTTTGCTTCTCTATCTCAAGACCCGATTTCAACATCATGCATCTGAACAGGGGAGGCCATCTATTATTTGGGCATCTTTGATGAAAACCATAGAAATGGGTCTGAGGTATTTTGGTGATAACATAATCTGAGCAAGATGAGTTAACATGTTGCTGAAATACACTGAGACATTGCAAGAATCAGTTGTCTGCCCAAGCTGATTTTCATTTTTGCTCCAGTTTTTGGTAGAAAACACTCCCCCTGGACTGTGTAGTTTTGAAAACAACACTCAATTACCTTTGCCCATAAATATCTGTATTTAGATTCCAACCTTGCAGCCAGATTGCCTATGCATAGTCATACTTGCACCCATTCAGAGCTCTGTGATGTAAATGTCTGTCATTTACAAACCTATGTCAGAACTTAAAAATGTTTGAAATTAAAGACTCTACATTAAAGTAAATTAATATGTAATGCTGGGTTAAACAGTAGGTGCAATGGAAGATGAAATTTTACAGGTTTTTTCTGCAAGCAATGCCAAAAGCTTTCACTATGGTTAATTATCTCTGTTCAGATTTTTAACAAAGATTACAGTAAATGTATTTTGAACTCAGAACAGGAATGGAGTGTAACAGGACATTTGAATCCATTAAATTTCTCATTACAGTAATGACTATATGACTCTCCCAAGTATCTCCTGGTGAATTAAAATTATTTCAGTAGCAAAAGTTCCTTACTCAGAGACTCACATTTGTGTAACTGCTGACACTCTTTCTTGCTGGGAGCTTCTGAGAACTCTGTTCAAAACTTTCCTATTTTCACTCTAATACCGTGACAATTGTATCCAGTAGTCTTTGCCCTTTGTAGAGGCTTGTTTTAACCTGAACTAGTTCTGTCACTTGAGTCCTGTTCCACTGTAAATCAGTCTCTTTACTTGGTTCCAGATCAAGTGTTTGGTTCCAATCTCACCAGCTTGTGTCAAAGAGAAAACAGCACGGTGCCAAAGTTCGTGAAGCTGTGCATTGAGCATGTTGAGGAACATGGTATGGTTGAAGTTTTTTGTTTCCGAATCTCTCTTGCTCACCACACTATCTAATTTTGAACGTTTTAATCCTTAAAATGCTGTAGATTTATTTGGGGAAAATAATCTGAAACTTGTATCTGTAGTTAGCAATGAGTTTTCAAGTGTGGGGAGGTGGGTGGGATCCAAAATGGAGAGAGGGGAGGAAATCTTATATCTGAGAAATTGATCTGCTACAGTATATTTCAAGCTGAGGAGAAGGCAGGACAGCTTCCTAACAGCAAGGCTCTAAGGAAAGAGGGGTTACAAGAAGTAATAGAAGAGCTCAGCCCATCATGGTTTTTTTCAGATGAAAAGAGAGTGACTGTCAAAATGCAACCATTGGTTCTTTGAGGGTTTAAGCACGCTAACGATCATTTATATTAAAGCTTCCTTGAAACAAACTTCTAGGAAAAAGTTGTGTTCCTGCTCTGTATATGCGTTGACTGCCAGAAGACAAGTCTATGGTTTGATGCCCTTCAGCCAGCTACACCAATTGCTATGCAAAGTTTTATGCAGTTCTGGAGATTATCAGTGTCCACATATTGACTCAATGTTTTGTTTGCTTTCATTGAAAATAAGTGTCTCTTGCCTAATAACTGAGAAAATCATGTTTAAAAGCTACATGTGACATTCTGGGTTGTCTGATGTAAAGGACATCTTCACATTTTTGTTGAAAATATGTTGGTTGCGACTCCTGACTTGGCTGTAGTCTGTGCTGGTTTTCTTGCTTGTTTCTTGCTGTTGTCGTTGCCCTGTCCTTGGAAAAGATGACTGAGAGGGGATTATGGAATCTCCATAATCATCATTCAAATATATACCAGTCTGTTAATCTGAGAACATTCTCTTGAGAATCAGGGTAAGTGTTACAGGGGAATACTACGTGTGAATTTTAAGGCATCTTCCATGGGAACTTCATTTAGGATTTTGTTGCAGCCTGTAGTCCTCTTTCTCAATGCTGCTATTTTATGGCCTGGGAGGGGAAAAATAACTGCTTCCGTTGCCTTACTCCAGTTTGACAAACTGCCACCTTGCTTGTAACAGCAGGCTTTATTCCGTTTGTGATCTGCAGTTTGTGAGAAAGGGGTTATTTTGCTTTGTTCTTTTTTTTAAATTTCTTTTTTATTTTAAAGGCAGGACTGCAGTGAAGATAGTGGTGAAGTTTTCCTTTTTTAAATACCTGAGGGGAAGCTGACAGAAATGAATAGCTTTTTTTCCCCACTTCTCCAACTCTTCTTCCTACTGCCAATACACTTCAAATCAGTTCTTTCTGTAAAGGAATGACTAGTGGATTATGGGGAAAAGGGATATGTCAGATGGTGCTGGTAACTGTGCTGTGTTGCATCAGACAACTCCTTGAGGAGCTACAGGGACTTGCAGGTATTCTGGCAACACTCACCCTCTCAGTGGCACTGACTCACATGCTGCATTCAAGTGGCATTTCAATTAAATTGTTGCTCTCCTAATCACTTCTGAGTAACTGCAGTAGCAACCACAGAGACACAGTTTTCTTTTCTGGTTGAGTGTGCAATACGGTAAAGGCAAGGGCTACCTGTTTTAGTTTTGTAGGCTGTTGGGTAGTGATGAGTGTGCATGCACATCATTCCTTCTCCATGCAAACCCAGTCACTTAACAACTTTGAGATGCTCTCTATGCATGACTTGACTTGATTTTTCTTAACAATGCATTAAAAAATTGAACATCCACAAAATACTTGGTTCTTGCATGTTGAACTCCTGTATACTCTCTGCCGGCCTACCAAGAGCATCTTAAACTACACACCTAGTCTCATTGGGGAAACTTGGAGCTGTTGCCTCATTACAACTATTCTACTGTGTAGGAAGTTTTAGAGATTACTGTGAGCTTGATGCTCCCAAACCTGTGTCAGCAAACTAAACCTCCTCTGATATGCCCTGCCCATCAAAAAAGCTAGTTTAACCTTTGTTGTTGTTGAACCAAGTGTTCTTTGTTACAAGGTGGGTTTCTTTTCTTTTTAATTTTGCTGAGTACACCTATAAAGAAGCAGCCTAATGATTTCAGAATTCATACACATGTGAGGTATTAAAATGGATTTATGCTTTTGTTTTAGGGTTAGATGTTGATGGCTTATACCGAGTTAGTGGCAATCTTGCAGTGATACAGAAGCTAAGATTTGCAGTCAATCATGGTAAGCTTCCTTTAACTATATTACAATTTTGTATGTTTTCAGATTGTTGAAGTTCGTAGAAAGCTCAGGAAAAAATTTCGTAATGTATAACTGCAGTCTTCCATGAGAAATGACTGTCCTCTTTGAAGTAAAATTACATCAAAATTGCAGAATTTAGTGTGTAATATGCATCATTTGAAAAACCTAGCATCCTGAAAGTTTGGTCTTATGTGGAGCATAGAGGCATTTCTAGACCATAATTCTAAAGAAGGGTGGTAATAGAACTGGGGTGGGGTGAATTATTTCAAACAAAATCACTTCATACCTTATGGAAAAACAGTAAGCATGTTAAGCTTCCACCGCCATTAAAATTGTAAGTTAATGCTTTTTAGCAAGATTTGCCACTCTCTGTTAGTATAGGGGTGGTTAGCTCTTCTTCGCCATACTCTGTGTATAAAACCCTTTCATGTGGCTTTATCTTAGTGTTTTGTTCAGTGGGAATCAATAGGAAGCCCATCCACAAGCTGACCTCTCATCTCCTGATTGACAGGGTCTAACAGTAAATTCTGCGTTATGTCAGCAGCTCCTGTTCCCCTCTGAAAAATGCCCTTGGTATAGGGGAGCTGCATTTAGTGCAGTAGGCAGAGTTTGGCCATCTCTGTCTGTTGTGGTTGAGGTTTTTTTATCCCCTTTTATATTGCTGCAGTTCTGTATCCCAGCACAGAATGGGCTGAAGTGGAGTAAGAGTATTCACTGCTTTAAAAGCAATAAGTACAGAAGAGTAGTTAAATTTATTTTTTGAAAAAAAGCTTTGATAGTTAAATTAGTAACAGTAATTATTTATTTTTCTCTCTCAGATGAGAAACTAGACTTGAATGACAGTAAATGGGAAGATATACATGTCATCACAGGAGCTCTAAAGATGTTTTTCAGAGAATTGCCAGAGCCGCTGTTCACTTATAATCACTTCAATGACTTTGTCAATGCAATTAGTAAGTCTGGAAAACATGTGTGTGCTTTTTGTATAAGTTCTGCTCAATACGTACAATTCCCTTAATTATTTTGGACAGTAAAAAGAATGTTTTGGTTATAAATGTGTAAGGCTTACCTAAAACACTGCCTGTCAGTACTGCACGGTCTGGTCAGGAGGTGGCAGTATTTTATCTCATATTAGCACTGCAAAACGCTTGCTTTTATTCCCAGTCTGTTAAATTTTACACTAAAGTTTTAAACAAAAATACTAAATTTTTGCTTCTATACCTCATCCTTTTGCAGAACAAGAACCAAGGCAACGTGTCCATGCTGTTAAAGATTTAATCAAACAGTTGCCAAAACCAAATCAGGACACTATGCAGGTACTCTTTAGACACCTGAAAAGGTAAGTAGCAGATAGAAGGAGAGGCTTTGTATTGCTGATCTTCCCTTAAAGCTAAATAATCCAATTAAAAGTACTAGGTGCCTGTTCCCACTGCATTTTCCTTGCCTGTATTGGGCTTGATTAAAACTAGTGTATCTGTATTTATACAAGCTTGCAGAGCACAAAACAGAGACTTTAGACAGTATGTGTAATAGTTCTGATGTTTACTGCCAAGTCCTTTTGTTCGAGGGATTGTGAGAGGATCAGGAATAGCATTTCAAAACAAAACTTTTCTGTAGAGAGGGGAATCACAGCAGCTGTGTGTCCTAATAACAAGACTACTCGTTAAATAAATACTGTGAATAGTCATTTGCTTTGGACTGTGTCTTTTTCCTGTCATCCTATTACTCTAACACTGATAAGCCTCTTTTTGTTTATTTTTTCTCTTTCAGAGTTGTAGAAAACGGAGAAAAGAACCGAATGACCTATCAAAGTGTAGCAATAGTTTTTGGTCCAACCTTATTAAAACCAGAGAAAGAGACTGGTAACATAGCAGTCCACACAGTATACCAGAATCAGATTGTGGAATTAATTCTACTGGAATTAAATTCCATCTTTGGACGCTGACATTTTTCTGGGAGTAAAAACTGGAAGTGATGGGTTGGCAGCAGTACTCCATCAGAAGGAAAATCTCTCACTGTACATGATGTATTATGTTTGTGGACCAAGCAGCAACTTGTTTTTTGCACTTTTGGGGAGGGGAGAAGCAGGAGAAATGTTTGACCACTTTAATGCAAATTAAAGACAACACTCTGGATTTCTTTGAAAAGTTCAATGTAAAAAGTGAATTGAAAAGTTTATAGTTTGCCTTTTTTAAAGTAGCATTGGAAAAATGTAATATAGGTTCATACACTGGATTTCTTGGAGAGTAAAGCTATTAATCTCAAACTGGATAATCTGGAATTTAATCTTAAAATTCTTCCACTTGATAGGGAAAAGTCCTACCAACTGGTATGGAAAAATTCAGTGAAGTTACATCTTAAGCTTGTGTATTACAACCTACTCAGATCTGTATGACACTTTTCCAAGGGGTTTCTGCATGCAGTGACTGTCTTAAACTTGTGCTAACAGTTTGGTTTAGTTATTCAAATCTAATTCTTCACTTGATATCTGCTGTCCTTTTTTCCTTTTTTTTTTTTCCCCTTTTTCTTTTTTTCTTTCCATTTTTTTCCCCAGCAACCTTTCTGGAACTTCTTAGTTGCTTTACAGAGCAGCACACTACTTCAAACACTGAACTTGTGAGAAGATCTAGCAACGGATATTTGTCTTGTGGCATAATAGAAGTCATATTTAATAAACATGTTCATTTTTTCTGGGTATTTCCTGAGCTAAGTTTTGTGTTATACTGATTTAAAGCTAAAATCCTAAGTAAATACCAACTGTAACACTGTCTTGAGTTCTTGGTATAATGCTGTGGTAGTGGAAGTTTCTTGATGTAAATACAGGCTGTCCTTTGGATTCTTGTATATAATTCAGTTCCTGTATAGTTCAAGAATACTTTAGTCACACATTTCTAATCATGGGTAGATTAGCTACAGTAGCATAATGTTTCCAGTGGATGTCTGGGTTTCAGCAGGGAAACAGGTTATGGGGAGGGAGGGGGGGACCTAACTGTGTGCACTTTTAGATGTTAATTACATTTGCAGACAAATAACTGTAATGCAAATGGTACTGGAGAAATACTGAGTGTGCTTGCTAAATTGTTAATGCACTACAAGAGGAGCCTTTTAGGTTATTTAATATGTACAGGATACATTAGAAAAATGTGTTAAGAATTCTAACATCTACAAATAGTGAAACTCATGTTTTGATAGATAGATGTTTGATGGAATCCATGATGCTAAATTTAAGATTTTCTTTTTACATTAATGTAGAATAACTTGTAAAATTGGTTTTGAAAGATTTTGTTACAGGGAGCATGGTCTGCTGAAGATTTTTTTAAATGTATTTTTCTAGACTAACTGCTGTATCTGACATATTTGTTATGTCTAACCTGAATAAACAAACCCGTTAGTTCTTTTAGAGTTTGCCACTCTGGCTTCAGACAACATGAACCCCCTTTAAATAACAAGACTGACGTATCTTACTGCTTAGCATGGATACTACTTGTGGCAAAGAGTTGTCATGCTGGGTTAAAAGACAGATGCTTACTTTACAACCTGATGATTTTAGGAACTTCCTAATCCTTTTCTTTAACAACTTAAATTCTACCTAAGATTCAGAGAGGGCAGAAGTAATTTATGGATATAAATTTACGGTCTTTAAAATGTATCCCAACTTAGGAACCTACTGTACAGAAAGATACATTGGGGAATTAATTGTATTAATTAACTGAAGGTTGTATACCTTTCACGACACAGTTCTGGCTTACAGCAAAGGGGATGTGTGGTGAAGTACTGAGCTGTAATCAGATGAATGGTACGAGAATTTCATGAGCATAGGGCTTGCACGAAAAGTCTTTGGAGATAAAAGAGAAGATGAGTTACTTTGTGGCTTTCTCACTGTTGTCTTGTGGTAATGGTGAAGTCTTGTGGTTTGTTGCAAAGCAACCTGGGTGAGAATTGTGAAAGCTCCATCTCTGTGTTGTTGTCAGCCTCCTGGTAGGCTGTCAAACCAGAGCAGTGCTGAGTGGCAGGCGTGCCCCAAACTACTAGAAAATACCAACAAAGTTGAAATCTGTTGCTGTAGATTATTCAAATCCCAACTTCAACTGTAACATAAAAAAGAATTCCCACTGCTAAATGAGAGGGCCTCTCCAGAGGCCACCTTTTCTCTATGAGTGTTATGTTTTTCAAAGAATACCTTTTTAAAAGAATTTGATAATGAGGATGTCACACTTTTCCTTGTATTTCCCCCAAATAAAGCATTTTGTTATTACAATATATAGTATGGTTTTGTGCAGTGAAGTTGTCATATGTTTTAATGTTCTCATTTTTAGTTTGGGGAGGGGAGAGTATTCTTTCTAATTGAAAGAGGTGTAGCTAAACACTCGAAATATTCGGGAAGAGGAGGCCAGCCAGGCTGACCGTATGCTGCTTGTGACCAACTTGAAACTGTGTATGTCAGCACATTGGGTTTCTTCACTCCTTGAAATACCTTGTCTTGTTCTGCAGTTAGCTTTCTTTTAAAAAATCAAAAACAGATTTTTGCACAACAGCAGGGGAAAGCTATTTGTATTAGATGAACAAATTTATATGTTCCTCTAAATCAGCTTTGGTTCTGATTTAAAACCAATTTAAAGACTGAGTGTAAGCTCTTGCAGCAATAACCACTCAAAGATACTGGAGGTCCAATATTAAGTATCGGTGCCAGTTGAAGTTTTGTTCCAGCACTAGAGCTGTGTTTAGCTCTATAGTTCTGCTACACAGTGTTAGTAGCAAGCAACTCTCAGTTGTGCTTGATCTATACCAGTTACAGCTTTCTTCCCTTTAAAGCTGGAGAGAGAAGTGGACACAAAAAAAAGACAAATATACACAGTCATTTCATGTAAACTAATTTTTTAAAATCAGAGTTGCATGTAAATAAAGCTTCCTGCGTGCAAGTGGATAGGTCATGCTTACTGCCAGGTCCAGACTTTCCTCCCCATCTTCACAGAAAGCCACGATGAATTCCCTTTGTACTGAACCCATTGTATCCAGGCAAGTGAATCCTCGGCTCGCAGCGTGAGAGAGAAGGGAGTTTGTAGGTAATACAGTATCAGTTTATTCCTATGTGGAGCCCTGACTTCTTCCCCTTGAAGGGAACTGCTTTATTTAGGCCCAAAGTAATGATATTTTCAGAATCAATCGGTTAATTCATAAGCCATAACGTAAACCAAGCACAGTGGGGCATTCTGCTGGGCAAAGGGGGAGGTACAGCATGTCTAATGAGGCCTTCTGCAACTGCCGGGGAGAGGAGAGCTCCTCTGAAGAATCTTAATTAGCCTCCACAATTGCAAAGTTTTGTGGGCAAGCAGCTGGTAGGACTGGATCAGACCTTTACAAAAGTAGCCCTATGTGATTGTGGGATTTAAATGAACATTCCCCCCCAGCATTCTTGTAAACAGAGCACTTGTAAAACAAGATCACACTGTGTAACAAACCGACATGAAAGACAGAGGCAACTTGGCCTCTTGGTCCTTTTTATTGCCTTGAGAATTAAATGGTGGCTCTAATACTAGTTTCCTACAACTTCCTGAAATGGATGTGAGTTTGTTAAGGTACTTAGCTGCTACTTTCTTTCGAGAGAAGAAATTTGTGTTAAACTCGGCAAACTCAGAACTGCAAAGTGGAACAAGCAGGGATAGCATCAGGTTTATTTCTCATAGAACCTCATCTTGTAGCTTATTGCACTAAAATGTAGTTGGCTAGGGAAGGGGAGAGCAGATCCTTAGTGTGGGAATAAGTAAATGCAAAACACCGAAGGCAACCAGACAAAGCAGGTGTGATGGACAAGCGAGATAGCAAAGAAACAGTCACTTAGAAAATCTGCAGGAATCCAGGCCAGAGAGCTGGGAGAAAGCCAGGCTGCCAAGAGTGTAGATTGGTTTTGTTTTTTTTTTTCTTTTCTTTTCTATTTTTCTTCTTTTTCCACTTCATACAATGCAGATGAAGGCCTGGCTGCGTTTTGTAAGGGTAAGTTGCTCTGTAAACAGATGGAGTTCAAGTGAAATTGCAAAATGGCAGTGCCCACCTCTCTCTGGACTTTTCCAGAGTGGCTTCTATGTGTTGGCTCCCCAGTGATGCACTTGTGTCCAGGTTCACTTGGCACAAACACCAGAGTGCTAATGGGAGTCAAGAACTATGTTCCTTTAACATAACTGTGAATTCACAATCGGTATCTGTGCGATAAAAAAATAAACTTGTTCTCAGTTTGGCAGCAGCATTCTGGTGGCACCGAGTGCCCCATCCAAGACCCAAACCTTGCGGCACCAGATCCTGAAGAGCAAGGGCAGCCCTCTCAGTTACAGTCTCAGCACACCAGAAGAAAGAAATCATGAAGATGAAAAGTGGGAGTATGCGGAAAAAAATAAAAGCCCAAGCTAAACTATCTTCACAACCAGTTTAGATTTGTATGTACGGTACATATCTGCTCAGAATAGTTTCTTAATTCATAGTGTGAAAGAAACAGCTGTCCTCTAAAAAAATAAATACCATAATTAAAAGCTGTCATTTTTTACATCAGGCATTAGAAGATAAATGTTAAACGTCAGTCAGCTTGTCTAGTTCATCATGTGCTGCAGCCAAATGGCTGGAATCAAACCGCTGGCAGGGTGTTACCTGGCCACCGAGGTGGCAGTGCTCTCTGCCTGCTCTTCACCGAGAGGGTGATGCTGAGCTGCTGGTGATGCTGAGCTGCTGGTGGCTTGTCGGCTTTCTGCATGTGAGTGTCCTGCCTAGCTACTTGTTTCAGTAAAAGGAGGTACCTAACCTAGAAACAGAACTGAAAAACACCTTTTTTCCAAGAAACCTTCCTATCGGCCTGAGCTGGTCAGCGCTTTGTCCACAGTCCCTTCTGCTGCACAGTGCTGCCACCAAGTTCGCCGGCCTGTGGCAGGGATGCTCTCCGTGGGACTGAGCGAGCACATCTTCCGTGGGTGCTGGCCTTGGCAAGGCCCCTGCCAACGCACACGCGTGACCCACTCTACTTCACAGCTTTCTTCTGTGAAGAAAAATGGAGACGTGGTTGTGCAAGGGATAGAGCCTCTCCTCTAGCACCCCCTTAGAGCATTTTGTACAATGAAGGACGCCACTGTATTTTCCCACTATGAAATAGCTCTTTCTTAGCTGAGGTACTGTTCTCACTGATATACCAGTCCTGCTCTAAGTTTTGCCTTCGCAGTTTTAAAGATAAGACTTCTTTTCCTATTAATCTCTCCTTTTCCTTCCTCCACCCACCTGCTATTCCTTCTGCACTGAAAGTCAATCTGACTTGGACCTTTTGCTTCCTTATTTGTTCAACAGCCCGGAGCCTGGGGGCTGGAATGTGATGTGCTCTGCCCAGAGCGCTGCTTCGCCTGCGGAGGCTGAGGCACAGGCCACTCAGCCATAGACGCTTCATTAAAAAGCAGTCATCAGCGTTAATGCTAAATGGTAATGTAAATGAAAAAAAAAAAAAGGGCAAAAAGA